AGCGTGGGACTATCGAGTGAACGTATATCAGCAGGATGCTTATTCCAAGCAACAGCGATAAGGAAAAGGAAGGATTTAGCGAAGTAATTGCCAGTTGGTGGAAGGAAAAGAGACTTGGGGTGTCGGGAGGATGATGAAAATCGAAATTTGAAATCAAAGAGAACAGAAGGAAAGGTGTAGACAATGTGGTGAAAATAGCATAATGAAAGGATCTGTAATAGCCATTTTATAGCTTCCCAGGCTGCACGCTGGTTAAGATTTTCTTTTGGAGTCATCCAATCTGGCTTCCTCCCTAATTTAGCGGCAAGATATCCTCTGGCTGCAGATGCTTGGAGCCTACTCATAGTATCCTGGTCTTGGACCGTCAGAGAGGAAAACCAGACGGGGATAGAGTACTCTAGGGTAGGGCGAACGTATGACTTATACAAGATAGAAATGATCGATGGAGGAAAGAAAAGAGCCATACGACTAAGCAAGAACACTCTGCTACGAAATTTAGAGATAATGGAACGAATGTGCTCACGGAAATCTAGGGAGGGGGTTAATATGACTCCAAGATTCTACAGGGGTACCCGGTTTGCTGAAAGGAAACGCAGTACGTTTTGCGGTTCGCACACGTTTCCTTGACGACATAAGCAGAAAAGTTGCGTTTACGCAGTTTTGTACCTAGTGTGGTTGCAGCCTAAAGTCCGCTGCAAACGCCCACCCCATCTTTTGCAAGATCTGCTGGCCTATACGCACTGCCCCATGCACTTTCACTCCTGCTGGCTGCTGCACGAAAGTGCATCTCACACCGTAGCGCGAGGAGTGCTTTGCTACGGTAAAGTATGTCCATTTTCCGGTTTCAAAAGGGTTTTGGGCACTAGTTACGAGCTAGCTCCTAGTGATTTTATGATATTGGCTGTTTTATTTTGCAAATCCAAACAGCAATTACTTAGGAATAACAAGGTAGCGAAGAAAAGGCTATTACAGGAACCTTAGTACACTTCTGACGGTGTTTCAAGCTAGGCCTTGACAGGTTATGCTAATATTTTCGTGAAATTATGCTTTTCGCATTGCTGAAAATATTGCAGAATTATGCTAGTTTTTATGCTAAAAGTTATCATATTATGCCGCATTATGCTCACATATGCTGCTAATGTATAATGGTTCTGTAGGAAGTAGTGTCAAGTAAAGTCGGCGGAATAGCGCGAGCTCCGGTGTGGGGAGCAAACCTTTCTTACAAATCATCGCCGAAGTCGCAACCACTACTTCGTACTGTTGTGCCCAGCGCGGGCTTGCGACTAGTTGGTTTGGAGGTGACAGCGTTGCGAATGACCGAGGGTCCTCGACGTCTGTCTTACCGTCCAGGAGCGACACTGACTCACGCTGTTATCTGGTGTTCACGAGGTGTTTGTCGCGCTGGAAGCGGAGCGTCTCTGTAAGTTTGTATCCCTGGTGATGTTTGTGCCTGGAGAGCACTATATAAGTGGTGCTCTTCAGGCACAATCTTCCTCAGCCTACTCAAGCTCAACTGATGAGGGGTGAGTTCCCCGAAACACTGTGTATTGAGCAGGGAGTGGTGCTTTCTTGCAGATTTGCCGAGTCGAAGGTTCGATGGACTTCTCGTGTGCTCTGGATGGCAGTCGTGAGTCAGTCAAGTGTCAAGTAAAGTCGGCGGAATAGCGCGAGCTCCGGTGTGGGGAGCAAACCTTTCTTATAATTATATCATAATAAATGCAATGTAGCTCATGGGTATTGGAAATATGTCTATAATTATGAATATTGCAGCCTGAGTGATACTAATAGTGCTATTTCCTGAGTTTGATTGTTTCAGGATCTGTTGGAATATCACAATGCACAGATCCTCATGCATACATGTAGATCTGGCCATGCGGGCCCGGTGGTCTGTCATGGGCAATGGCTTGCAGGCTCTGCAGAGCGTCTAGGCTCCTGAGCAATCCAGCATTGGCTTGGAGCAGATCTCCCACCGTAATAACTACAGCGGAGAACCACGTAGTGGAAAGCTACACAAGATGGGCAACCCATTTTCACATGTACAGACGATTTGCCAAAACTTTCCGAACATTCAAGGAGAAGACATTACCTGCATGACACATTGGCAGAACGAACAAGGCAGACTGGAACATTCCAAGATTCTGTAGCCGTTGCGTTTCAGGTGTTGGGTGGCAGCTCCGCTACTGAGGCCGTAGTACAAGTCGTCGAGCTCGGTTAGCCGCCGCAAACTTGTCAGCGCAACCTCGGCCACGCGCTCGCATTAGCTCCATGCCCGCGTTGACAGAGCTCCGGGTGACCAAACAAGCCGAACAGCTGCAAGCCGCGACTCCACAATGACACTGGCCGTCCGCGTGCTCTAACACTACGCTTCATTCCCTCTTTAGCCGTTTCACTGCTCTTCAAGCCCTGCAGGTAACATGGCCCCTTGAAGGGTACAGACGTCTATGACGTAGAAAAACAGGTCTCGACACAAGGAGTTCCTCTTGACGGCCGACATGGGGCCCCGCACATTGAAAGTTCCAACAGCAAATTTTTCTTTTCCTCCGTAAAGCGTTCGTTCATCAGCTCGTACCATTGATTCCCGTCGCATCGTCCCGTCACTAATGTCCAATGAAAACTGCTCCCCAGTTGTCGTTGTAGTTGTTGTTGTTGTTGTTGTTGTTGTTGTTGTTGTTGTTGTTGTTGTTGTTGTTGTATATTTTACTTCGCAGATTCTAACGGGCAAGTTGCCCAATAACAAGAAAGCGAAGGCAAAGAAAATAATAATACTAATAAAAGAAATAACCGGGGGCAGCAGAAAATGAATTAAGAACTCAGATGGTGAGCCAAGGAACACATTGCCATGTTACATGTTACATGTTACAAATAATCGCTTTTAAAAGTAAAAAGAAAAAAAGCGGGTGGTACAGCAGACTTCCTATTCTGAATTCCCCGAACGAAGCAGAGACATTATCTGGGTACATGTCACTATTACACAGTAGCAAGAGAGCTACCACGGTCGACATCAGTGGACGTGGACTACGAGTGGATGCGACATACGAGTGGATGCGACAGCAACAGTGACTGGAATAATGGGTGATACGTTTCATGGAGCGAGCGTATGTGGGATGACTGACATATTGCACACACTGCGTTGGGGGATGGTGCGGATGTCGCTGGGTAGTGCGTTCCACAGCTTGGGAGCGGCAACAGAGAACCTAGCCTGACCCGCGCGGCTCGCGGCGGGTGGTACGTGCGCTCCCATGTCCTTCTGCAAGCGGGTACGCCGATCTGGTGTTCTTGAAATCAGTCCACAGAGCCGGTTCCCCGCAATGCCGTGGATGCATCGCCAGGTGAGCAATAGCGCCTTTTGCTTGTGCAGCTCTGAGATTCGGTAGAGTTTTATTATTATTATTATATATTTTGAGGATTTCCCAAAGACGTAGTCTAAATTGAAGGGAGTTCCATATCTGCCATTATTAGTTCCACCCGTTAGAGCAGAGGTTGAGCAGAGTCGTATGGCCGAGCGCCAAAAACTGCGCGAACCGCTTTGTTCTCCAGCGTCTGGAGATCTGTTGCTTGCTGGGCAGTTAGACAGAACACGAAACAACTTGATGCGTAGGTCAGATCCGGCATCACCACGGACTTCAAGTAGGTGACTCCGGCCGCCAGGCTCAAGCATCTCCGAGTCCGCCAGAGGGCACCTACTTTGCGGGACACCTTTGCTGTAATGGCTTTCAGGTGTTGCTGAAAGTTCAGCCCCTCGTCAATGATGACGCCAAGGTAATTCGCGCTGGTGACTGTCGGCAGAGCTTGGCTGCGACAGAGGTCTGTGACCCGGGGTCCAGCGTCTCTACGAGGGAAGACTGTGAGAACTTGACTCTTCTTCTCATTCAGAATCAGTCCTCGCTCTTCCAGCCATGCGGCCAAGGAGGAGACTGCGGTGGAGAGCGTACTGGCAACAGCATGAGTCGTGTCAGCGCTACAATATACTGCGACGTCATCGGCGAACTGGATCGTGGCTGCGGATTGGGCTACTTGAGGAACATCTCTTGTGCACACGTTAAAGAGCAACGGCCCGAGCACCGATCCCTGGGGCACACCGCAGCTGCAAGAGGTGATTGGTGCTGCTGCTGGCCCCAAAACAAACTCGCTGTGTCCGCTCACTGAGGTAGCTGATGAGCCAGCGAAGGGGTCTGCCTGTCACTGACTCCTAGAGCAAACAGGTCCTGAATGAGACGCTCATGACTGACTTTGTCAAAATTTAATTTTAATGCCTTGGAGAGATCAAGAAAGCACACTCCCAATACCTGGCGTCGATCGCGGGCCTCCAGGAGCGTGTCCGTCAGGACAACCAATGCATCTTCTGTTGAGTAGCCATGCCGGTACGCAAACTGCGTGTCAGGCAGCGCATGAACACGGGAAAGCTGACCTTGTAACTGGTTTTGTACAATGCGTTCGAGGATTTTCGAAATAATGGGTAGTAGAGATACTGGTCTATAATTACCAGGTGAAGCAGGATCTCCGGATTTGAAGAGGGGGCGAACCTCTGCTAGCTTGAAGGCCCGAGGAACGATACCCGATTTCAGGGACATGTTGAAAAGTTGGGTGAGGCTTGGTGCGATGATGTCGGCAGTGGCGAGCAGCAACGATCCTGGGACCCCGTCACTACCGGTTGCTTTTCTGGCGTCGACTTTACGGAGCAGTTCGTAAACGGTTGCGCGAGGAGACTAGAGACATTCCTCCGTGAGCGAGGAAGAAGAGCGGAGTTACCCAACTCAACCAAAGCCTACAAGCAAAGCCGATTAGGCGAAAAAGCCGCGCAGATTTGGGAAATGCTTACTCCTCATCAAACCCTGCCTTTCTTTGTACATACCGGTACTAGTAGCAGGACAAAGGTGAGAAGTATAAACTAAAAGGCGCACACAAATTCTTCACTTCAAGGTCAGATCGCAAAACGTGCCACACATACTGATGGGACATGGGTCAATTTCACACCAAGGTGAATCTGTTACCATGGTTACTATCCTTTTATGGAATTGAGATGCTTGGGACCTCTAGCTCTTGTCCCAGAAACAATTTCCTTTACAAAATATGAAAAAATTGTTTGTATTAAAACACAAAATACGACAAAGTCGTCTTTACACACTGAAGGTTTAGTCCAAACATACAACTGAGGTATTACGACAAACAAACGAACACATGACGGAACAGGATTGCGACAACAAGAAACGAAATCCAACATGAAGACTTTCTGCAGCAGAGGACACTCCGCTATATATTGCGAAGAGGACCTTATGGGCATCTCATTCTAGTGATAGAATCCAGGATGATTATCTGAAAAATAAAATCTAAAAATAGTAGGATATGCATGACACTTGAGGAACATACGGAATGAGATCAAGTAGGACAGCTTTAGGTGTACTTATTTAATTTATAAGCCTCCGCCCTTCACTCTTGCCTACAATCTTGATGAGCATTCTGCACATCAGTCTCCTCACAGCCATGACCAAAAATCCTCCTATGGTGTTCAAGGCCAGACGTTTTGGAAAAGAGTGCTGAACAACCAGCCTTATTACACTTATAAAAGGACAGTTCCTCTTCAGAGTGGGTGTGCATGTGATTCCAGAGGTCTGCAAAAGTAGGACGGACTTGAAAGCATGCGTGGATAGGACAGGGCTTGGATATTGGACCAGTGAGTACATTCTTTCCAGCGGCAAGTGATTCCAGGCAGATGAAATCCCTTCAGGTGCTCGTTCATGATGTGACCCGATAAGTGCTGTTCAGTCCGGAAGTGCTTGGCACACACAATATCGTTATCATCGTTAACAAGCCATTTACACTCGTATTATATTCTGCTTGGGTTTGGTACTAAATGATATGCGATTGGATGTCTCGACGTCATGGAGGCAGCACTGGTGTCCATTGGTTCAGTTACCGGTGGTTCCACTATTGCTGGTCTACCGAAACGAACAGCACTGCGTCCAAGATTCGGAGAACTTGGAAGACGCTCTGGCGAGAGATCACGCAACGGATGAATGGGATTCGATTACGAGACTGAGCTTTCGAATGATGGTCCCGATGGACTCCCCTTGCGCGCCGACCGTAGATAAGGCATTTGTGGAGCACCTTTAAGACAGTGTAAAGAGAACAGGAGCACACATAAAACAGTGGTTGTATAAGAGATTATTCCCCGGAGGATGTACCCAGTGTGCTGACAGTACTCAACACCGTGAAGGCAGAGCGTAATACGCAGAATGACAAGGGCAATTAAGGCTTGTTTGTCGGTATCTGAGTTGCATGCTTTCGCCATCATCAGGGAACACGAAAAACTAAAATTCTGACGACGAGTCACGCGTCCGAAACATCAATACATTTTAACCTCACAATAGAAGAATTTTTAATGCAGTGCATGCGCAGAGTGTGAATAAAAAGTAAATAGAGCGTTTGTTTGTTGACTAGCCTTTTACCTGTCATCACATTTCGCGACCTGTCCAAAACAAGTGCAAGTTGCTGAAATCGCACCCATATTTTCACAAAAGAGCTCAAGAGTTTCTAACCTTGCAACTTAAAATGAGCGAGTTTTTGTTCAAAGACCATCAAAAAAGAGGGGAATAGCCGAGGTGCAGCAACAGCAAGCTCTATGCCCATTCCTACTGTGAACCACTACTTTGCATATTGCTAGTAGCCATGCTCCGTCATTTCAGTGCGCGCAAAATGCAATGCCGATAATGTAACTACCATTGGTCTACTGTTTCTCCCAACCTGAACTCTGAAAGCAAGCGAGAAATATGCGAGTATGCTTTGTCCGGAATGAAGTCTGCGATTTGACCTTCTGACCTCCATGCCATGGGTCTATAGAGCAGGATAACGGAAAAGTTGCGAAGCAGTCCTCGAAAATGTAGAAAATTGCTAAAGTTGCGCTTTCTTCCAAAACAACCCAAAGCGGCGAGCATATTAGCCCTTTCCCAAATTTTGGGAAAGGGCTGCCAAACACCCTTTTTCTTTCACAATGCAGCTGGCTTTTTTTTTTTATGAAAGTGCACATATGCCTACATAGATCATATAATGCCAGATACAGCTTTTTCATGAATGGATCAACATTGCCTACTATAATAAAATACAAATGGAAAGTTTCTCCCACGTAAGCTGCTTTCATTCAGACAACTATAGGATCTTGAGAACATAATTCTCCCGATGAGTGGTATCCCATTTTATTAGAGCACAGATCACTGTGCTTTCCACCCAAGTGCTAGGCACGTCCAGTGCCACGGAAAACCGTACCAAAATAAAGCCGTTTCACGAACTAAACTTGAGAAACACATACTGGTATGATTGTAACGGAGGTTGGAGGCAGTGAAAGTAAGTTTACAACGAGATCAGGTTCACAAGTTTGTGCGCTTGGGTGGAAGCAAAACGTCGTCAGTTTGCAGTCGACTAGTTTCTTGCGTTGATTGCTGCAATTTGGGTTTCTGATTCTTGATTTACAAGGTACGCTGAACTGAGAGGACGGCATTTTTCAGTCGAACGATCACGTCATGGCGGCAGTTGACGACTTCCTTGATGAGCAAGATGAGGCTTCTTCCTGGGTTAGTGAAGTTGGAACATAACTGGAGCAAATATATTGAGGCCCAGAGTGATAAGGCCACACGTTCTTACTTCCATGTTTCACATCATCCGCGCGCATACGATTCAGGAGTCTGGAAGAAAGAAAATGACCTGTGCTGCACTGTGGGGACCGAGCACATGCACATGTGCACTCTGGCCTGGCCTGCGTGACACATGATGGGAGGTCGCTGCATGCAGTTTTTGTTACGCAATCTAGATGCATTTGCACAGAGTCTGGGACTGAGCTCCTACCACTTGTACTGGCAAGAGTATATCCCCGCGGGGTTATAATATTATACTCTTGGTACTAGTTGCTAACTAACGTATTGCTTTGGCGGCTAATTTACACAGTGTATTGGTCGATTTTAGTATGACCAGAGGTCAAGGACCACCGTCGAGCCATCGGGCGTGATGCTGCATCCACGGTTAGACACTGCAAAGCTTAACACACCTATTCTCAACATCACTTTACCACTGGCCGAATTCAAACTAATGAGGTGAACAAAGCAAAGGATGCTATAAAAGTTCCTGATCCTCCGCACTGGTTCTCCAGAGAGTGAGTAGGCATGCTGTCTCCCTTGCCTAGAAAATAGAGCGACTTATCATATTGTATGGCGTGCACAACCCGCCACGCACACAGTCACATACGCTGGTAAACACACAAGTCATGCACATTCTACACCCACATGCTCTAGCACACTCGTAAACAAATAAACAAGCAAAAACATTCCCATCACTTACTGCTCAAAGGTTGCTGATCAAGCAGATCAGGCTGGGCCATGTCACTACTACCAGATGAGACTCTTACGACAGGCTGGTGCGTCGAGACAGGTAGAACTGGATTTTGTGTCTGGACAGGTTGCTGAAGCCCAACTGGTTGCTGAAACCCGACTGGTTGCTGAAACCCGACTGGTTGCTGAAACCCGACTGGTTGCTGAAACCCGACTGGTTGCTGAAACCCGACTGGTTGCTGAAACGCGACTGGTTGCTGAAACGCGACTGGTTGCTGAAACCCGACTGGTGGCTGAAATCCGACTGGTTGCTGAAACCCGACTGCTTGCTCAAACCCGACTGCTTGCTCAAACCCGACTGCTTGCTCCAACCCGACTGCTTGCTCCAACCCGACTGCTTGCTCAAACCCGACCGCTTGCTGAAACCCGACTGGTTGCTGAAATCGACTGGTTGCTGAAATCCGACTGGTTGCTGAAACCCGACTGGTTGCTGAAACCCGACTGGTGGCTGAAATCCGACTGGTTGCTGAAACCCGACTGCTTGCTCAAACCCGACTGCTTGCTCAAACCCGACTGCTTGCTCAAACCCGACTGCTTGCTCTAACCCGACTGCTTGCTCCAACCCGACTGGTTGCTCAAACCCGACCGCTTGCTGAAACCCGACTGGTTGCTGAAAATCGACTGGTTGTTGAAATCCGACTGGTTGCTGAAACCCGACTGGTTGCTCAAACCCGACTGCTTGCTTAGACCCGACTGCTTGCTCAAACCCGACTGCTTGCTCAAACCTGATTGGTTGCCGAACCTGCAATGGTTGCTCAAGCTGAGCTGGTAGAGGAAGATTGACGGGTTCATGCAGCTGTACTTGTTGATGCGCCGGCCGCAACGGTAGCGGATCCTGAAGTGTCTGAAGTGTCTGGGTTGCTTGAGCAGTCTCGGTAGGCTGGATTGTCTGTAGAGGCTGGACGGTCTGCTCAGGCTGGACGATCTGCTCAGGCTGGACGATCTGCTCAGGCTGGACGATCTGCTCAGGCTGGACGATCTGCTCAGGCTGGACGATCTGCTCAGGCTGAACGATCTGCTCAGGCTGGACGATCTGCTCAGGCTGGACGATCTGCTCAGGCTGGACGATCTGCTCAGGCTGGACGATCTGCTCAGGCTGGATGATCTGCTCAGGCTGGACGATTTGCTCAGGCTGGACGATCTGCTCAGGCTGGACGATCTGCTCAGGCTGGTCGATCTGCTCAGGCTGGACGATCTGCTCAGGCTGGACGATCTGCTCGGGCTGGACGATCTGCTCAGGCTGGACAATATGCTCAGGTTGGACGATCTGCTCAGGCTGGACGATCTGCTCAAGCTGGACGATCTGCTAAGGCTGCACGATCTGCTCAGGCTGGACGATCTGCTCAGGCTGGACGATTTGCTCAGGCTGGACGACCCGGGGATGTAGACCAATCTGGCCAGGCTGGACGATCTGGGGAGGCTGTATTGCCTGCATAAACTGTGCAGTCTGGGTAGGCTGATTGATCTGAGCAGGCTGAACGATCTGGTTAGGCTGGACGATCGGAAATGGCTGGATTGTCTGTAGAGGCTGGGTTGTCTCGTCGACTACACGAGGCATGGACACCCCAGTCTTTGTGACACGGGGTGTCTTCTTTGAAGCCATGCCTAGAACACGTATGGTTAAACGTAGAGCAACTTTCTACTCCTACTTTCTACTCTCAATCTAGTGAAAGTTTCGCTATGCTTTGAATTGCGCTTTGAATTTAGCACGCTACAAAACACGCGTCTACACTTTTAAAACGGACCGCTATTTCAAATTTTCGGGCAGTGGTAACATCAACCGGAGGAAAAACACCATGCGGTTCCACGTACGTCTATTTCTGGTGTGATCGACTGACTATTTCAAACTAGAAGAACCAGCAATGAAAACGATGCCGCAGAAGTGTCCAAAGTCTAATAGAAACTTCGACCAAGACAACCTATTTACAGCTCGACTCGGGGAACCCTCCATGTATTCGCACAGAGTGACACCGCACGACTTAGTGTGATACTTAAGCAGGTTGGCATTGGATTAGGCTAGCCAATTTACAGCGCCAATTCCCGAAGTGTGATAATGTTCTTTGCTTAGGCCATTATCGATATCTGGTGTATTTCCTAACACACAACCAAACGAGTGTAGTTTCTCAACGACAAGTGAGACTTGTTCCGCTTATGCTCCATATTGATGCCCTGCCCTGACAAGTGGGTAACAAAAACTGCAGGTTTTGTTCTTAAGTTTGCACGCTAGATGATCTCTCGCCCACTAGATAATCACATCTCTGGCGACTAGCCTATGGGTAACAGTTGCGCCGTTTTCGTGCCAGATCCGTCACGCTACAAATCAGGGGTAGCGACGAAAGCAACCCGTATTCCTCACCTAGACATCATTGGTTGGTGGATCCATGAACTACCTTGTGAAATGAGCACAAACCTGAGAAACACTTTCAGCACTATTATATTATCAGCTGTGCGGTGTACAAAATGAAGCGCCAGAAAGCTATTGGCAGTGTAGGGGAAGGTTTGTGCCATGTGTTATTTTTGTGACAGCCTTGGCCCTTTCTCTGTGCATGAGTCTGCTTTATGCTGGCTGATTTGTACTAACTTACCCTGGCACTTTTAAATTTGTGGTGTGTATACTATGGGACACACTCTCATATGGACTGTTTATGGACGACTACGTTGTAGGGGTACACCGTATGCTACCGTTTAAACTGCATACTTGACCTCTGACTGCATACTGGACCTCTGACTGCATACTGGACCTCTGGCTGCATACTGGACCTCTGACTGCATACTGGACCTCTGACTGCATACTGGACCTCTGACTGCATACTGGACCTCTGACTGCATACTGGACCTCTGACTGCATACTGGACCTCTGACTGCATACTGGAACTCTGACTGCATGCTGGACCTCTGACTGCACGCTGGACCTCTGACTGCATACTGGACCTCTGACTGCATTCTGGACCTCTGACTGCATACTGGACCTCTGACTGCATACTGGACCTCTGACTGCATACTGGACCTCTGACTGCCAACTGATTCCAACACACCGGTGCTCGCAGTATAATATTCTTCTTATGTGTGTGTGTGTGTGTGTGTGTGTGTGTGTGTGTGTGTGTGTGTGTGTGTGTGTGTGTGTGTGTGTGTGTGTGTGTATGGGAGAGAGGGTGCAGGAACAACGTTATACTGTAAGGGAATTTCCCTTCTCTTGGACAATGGACGTTGACAGTTTTACACCTTTCCAAGAAACTGGGAAAACTTGGCCATGTTTTTTCAAACATCTACTTCCTTGTTACTCGTGTATGCACGTGCAACATAGAATGAAGTATGTGGGTTGGTGAGAAAACATAAGGCAAATAATTATATCCACCGATTGGAGAGTCTGGCGTGAAGAAAAAGAGAGGTCGAAAATAGAATATTTCCCCAAGTTATTTTAAGTGGATAACTTTATTCAAGACCACTTATTGGTGCTAAGGGACATGTTGTAGCAAACTATGGTGGTGGTTCATCAACCCCCCCCCCCCCCCCATTTCAGGACATAACCCCGCTACTACTGGCCTTTGGAGATGGCCTTCGTAAGGGGCGCCATTGGACCCAGCAGGAGACCCAGCACGTCGCGAATGGAAATTTGGATGGCTTAACATTACTAGGTGACTTGGGTCGACGTTCGAACATAGTCGGTTTGGCTGCGCTGCGTTGTTGTGAGCAGCAGTGAACTCTCGTTCTTGTACCTTGTTTGAAGGTGCTTGAGTCCGTATATTCATCGTATTTTTGATGTTGGTCAATATCTAAAGAACGGAGTGTTTCTGGGCCAAACTGTAATAGTTGGTGAATGAGGTCCACCCAGGGATAAATGAGCCAACTTTGAGCGAAATCGGAAATTTGGCCATGTCGTTTGTTGTCTGGTTTCTACAGACATTGACTTTTGTTAAAGAGTATACGTGTATAAAGTCATTTGACTGGCTCGTGCATCTACAGTTGTGAGTTGTGATCAATGGTTGTCCGTGCTGCTGGATTCAGTAGGGAATGCTTCGTGATCTTGCCGCTGCTGTTACGAGAGAGGCTTAGTGGACACTGGCAGGATATGGAAGGTGGTCTGCCTTTGAGGACAGTCTGAGAGACCTGCATTCCCTGCCTTGCTAGTACCTAACTGTTGCTCGTGTTGCGATAGTTCTGGAACCAATTATTTGCACACCTAGCCCGCGTTCACGAACCTGGAAACTGTAACATTTTGACGCATGCATTGAACTCACTGCAGTGCAGTGATTTCATTGATCTCGGTGCACTGCCATATTCACCAAATTACATGTAGTACATTTCAAAGGTGCATAGCAAAACCTGCTGTACTAGTAGAATGTATCGGTGATGAAGCGGGTGTGCACTGTGCAGCAGTTTGTCAGCAGCAAAGTTGCATCGTGGGTTACCCACACACGCTCCCGAGAATCACTAGCCTATCGTCGTCAAATCATCAGTCTCACCACTTTCCACAGATAATATGTTTTCCATCATCGTGATTACCTTGCTGATTTCCATTTCAATATCACGAATAGTGAATGACGACCAAATAAAAACATTTTTCCCAAATTTAAATCATTGTCTAAGTCTCTCTTCATGTTCCGAACTGCTATTCTATGGAACTGTTTGCCCCCTAGTCTGACATCGGAAGCCTCACTCTCTAAGTTCAAACCAGCCCTCAGGAAATTCACCGCTATCCATGCTATATTATGCAATCAATGGAATTCCACCCCCTTGCAGTGGATCTTCCCCCATTTATCTGTCATTAGGTATTTCCGAAATCGGTCAGCCGAAAAAGTCGTCGAAAAGATTCGCCGAAAACAATGCGCCAAGAAGTCGACGATAATTGCACCACATTTACAAATTTCGCGGTGAATCCGCCGAAAATGAATGCTTTAGTGCCCGGCTTTCAGCAGATGTTGATGCAGCACGCTGGGAAGCAGGGAGTAGTACAATACCGGTGGTATTGTACTACTCCCTGGTATTGTACTACTCCCTGCTGGGAAGAGTGACGCGTGGCCGGCCAAGCCATCTGGTTGTGTTGTTTGCGAAAAATATTTCCATTGCCAATACTGCAGGGGTTGATGGTGGCAGCCGCAAGATGTGACCAAATAGACGCAAACTGGCACTGCGTACGAAGATGCTGATCTCCTCCATTTGGCACATCCCGCACAGTGCTTCATTGGAGATGCGCTGCGGCCATTTGATGCCAAGGAGAGACCGCAACTGACGTCAGTGGAAGGCATGCACCCGGTACTATGCATGTAGTCTAGTAGTACAAAAGTCAAAAGTGAGAAGCACAAACTAGAAGGCTCCGGCGGCTGACAAATTACTCACTTCAAAGTCAGATCTCAAAACCTGCTGCACAAACCGATGGGACATGAACCAATTTCACATCAAGGTGAACCTGTTACCGTGGTTACTATCCTTTTATGGAATTGAGATGCTTGGGACCTCTTGTCCCAGAAACAATTTGCTTCACAAATATGAAATATTGTTTGTATTAATAAAACACAGAATACGACAAAGTCGTCTTTTAAAACACACTGAAGGTTTGGTCTAAACTTAAATATAGCTGAGGGATTACGACAAAGAAACGAACATATGACGGAACAGGATTGCGACAACAAGAAACGAAATCCAACATGAAGACTTCCTACAGTAATGGAGACTCCGCTATATATGACCAAGAAGACCTTATGGGCTTCTCATGCTAGTGATAGAATCCCGCAGGAGGATTATGTAAAAAAACAAATCTAAAAAAATAGGATATGCGAGACACTGGAGGAACATACGGGAAGAGATCGACCAGGACGGCTAGGTGTAATCTTTTTCGTGAGAATACCTCGACGGTGGGGCATACTGCAAACGTTTTTGATTCTGGGCTAGTGAACAGTTTCAAATGTTATCAATGTATCCATTAATGGCTCATTGCACTGATATATTTTTAGGGCTAGATGTGTGAATGTTGGGGACGGTAGAGCATTGAGATGATTGTGAGCGCTATGACTAAGCTGGTGGACATAGCATTCAAGGAATAAATGATAACATGTAGAAGAGTAAGCGGTTTTTGGCATCCTTGTTGGTGATGAAGCTAGATGCAAAGTTTATATTGCTGTGTATGCTATTTCTGTTACTCAGGATAATGCTGGAGGTAAATGTGATGCTGCTGTTTCTCAGGCGTGGATTACTTCGATATTGTTGTCAGTGGCCGTCCGTATCAGTGAAATTGGTGGTGGTGGTGGTTGTGGTGGTGGTGGTGGTGGTGGTGGTGGTGGTGGTGGTGGTGGTGGTGGTGGTGGTGGTGGTGGTGGTGGTGGTGGTGGTGGTGGTGGTGGTGGTGGTGGTGGTGGTGGTGGTGGTGGTGGTGGTGGTGGTGGTGGTGGTGGTGGTGGTGGTGGTGGTGGTGGTGGTGGTGGTGGTGGTGGTGGTGGTGGTGGTGGTGGTGGTGGTGGTGGTGGTGGTGGTGGTGGTGGTGGTGGTGGTGGTGGTGGTGGTGGTGGTGGTGGTGGTGGTGGTGGTGGTGGTGGTGGTGGTGGTGGTGGTGTTATGGGGAACTGCTGGTGCTGCTGCTGATGTGATGGCGATCGGGGCTGCTGCTGCTGCTGCTGCTGCTGCTGCTGCTGCTGCTGCTGCTGCTGCTGCTGCTGCTGCTGTGGTGGTGGTGGTGCTGGCTGCTGCTACTCTGATTGTGGTGCAAGTACGGGGAGCTGCTGCTACTGTAGTGGTGGAGGTGCTGCTCGCTGCTGCTGAGGTAGTGGCGGTACGTGGCACTGCTGCTCCAATGATGGCGTTCCTCCTTACTTCTGCTCCTGTGATGGGGGTGCTGGGTGCTGCTACTGCGGTGTTGGTGGTGTTCCTGGGTGCGCCTTCTCCGTAGGTGGTGGTTATAGTGTTGGGTGCTGCTGGAGCCGTGGTGGTGGTGTTGCCGGGTGCTGCCGCTCTGAGGGCGGTATGGGGAGCTGCTGCTGCCGGAGTGGTTGCGGTAGGGGGCCTTGCCACTGAAGTGATGGTGGTCCTCGGTGCTGCTGCTGCCGTGATGGAGGTGCTGGGTGCTGTTACTGCGGTATTGGTGGCGTTCCTGGGTGCTGCACCTCCGGTGGTGGTGATGGTGTTGGGTGCTGCTGGAGCCGTGGTCCTGGTGCTGCTGGGTGCTTCTGCTCTGGTGGTGGTGGAACGGGGGCCTACTGTCGTAGTGGTGGCGGTGCTGGGTGCTGCTGCTGCTTGGGTGGAGGCGGTATGGGGCCCTGGTGCTCATGTGATGGTGGTTTTCGTTGCTGCTGCTGCTCCTGTGGTGCTGGGCGCTGGTGCTCTGACGGTTGTGGTGCTGATTCTGTGGTGCTAGCGAGGATGCAGCATCTGCTTCAGAAGCACGGCTTACGCCTGACAATGCGTGTTCTGTGCTCGATGCACTCTCAGTATGTGATGAAGGAGAACAGCCAGGCTCAGGAAACTTGAAATATTTGCCTTTTTGTGCCACTTTTTATGGTCAACGAAGTCAAAATAACGAGTGAAGGCCCGATCACAACCTTGATGATTGCATTTATAGACGGGTTGACCTGTGTGCCAACAAAGGTGCCTAATAAGGCCTTTGTGTCTCTTGTACGTATGGTCACACCCCTGCCATTGGCATATATATTTAGAGAGGGCTAGCTGCTTTGTGCTGTTGAGTGATCCCCTTTTCAGGTGTTCCTTCCTGACATGAATTCGAAGCTCTTCGCGAGTTGTGCAAAGCGCACCACAAACACTGTCCTCATCGTTGGTCACAAGCCACTCACACACATGGTTTGTTGAAGCTGGTTGGGGCACCATGCGATCCCGATTTTGACTATCGTCGGCCTCTTCCGGCATCACAGCATCAGCAGTAGCTTTCTTTGCCATTACTCCTGCTAACAAACTAAGGGTAGTAGAACTGCCTCCAACATTCGGCACACGAGGAAAAAGTACTCTTGTAGGGCAAATCTCTTGGTCTGCTCACAACTAAGTTATGGTCGGCAGCAGTGTGCAAGGACGAACTCGTAGTGAATTGTTTACCAGGTAGGCAGAATGGTCGTCTTGGTATTCTGGACAAAGTAGGCACTGTGGAACCGTGCAGGACGAATACAGTCAACCAGTGTTTCCTAAAGTCGAAAACTAACGTAGACGTCAAGGGAACAGTACGACTTCAACTCCTCTGTGAAATTTACAGCAAATGCAGCTGATGGTAACTATGCTATGGTTTTGTATTTCAAAAAGTGTGAGTTGCAGGTAATGGTATGAATGTGGTGATGGATCTGGTAGTGAGTACAGTGGTCTACTAGGGCAGAGGTTAGGTGGTGAGAATAGATCGTGACCGTTTGGGTAGAAGTGCATGATTGTGTGAGAGATAACGTTGCTAGAGTGGAATCAACACACTCTTAAGAAAACTCTGCATTTTGCACGCAAGTAGTACTGCGAAGCACTGAGGAAAGAGGCAGGAAGCCATGACACGACACAGCTTACAGGCGTAGTCACGACACTTAAACATCTGATGGATCACAAAGTGTCAATGGGAACATAAAAGGTAGCAAAGTAGGAATGGGAGGATAATAGCGCTTAGTCACTGGTGAGAAATAGATACGTGTACGAGCATGGACTGTGACCTTCATAACATCCCCTCTAATACAACGGTGGTATTAAAGCATAAGAAACTCAAGCTCTCGGGTTTTGATGCAAAACCACTCACAAAGAAACAAAGAAATTCCAAAACAAGAGGGTAACAAGACCACTCTGCTAGATACACGTGATCTAGTGAACAAAGGTGTCAACGTATACCGTTATAACAATAATAGGGGTGAAACGAAGGTGGCAAAGGTTCGAAGAACCTTCGTTTTCTTTTGAAACAAACCTTCGTTTTCAATTCAAAAGAAGGTCAACACACGATTTCTGCACATGCACTAATCTTCCTTGTATACAGGAGGTACTGTACTGTTGTCAGTCCAGTCGACTAGTTTTGTGTCCATTTGGCTCCCGGTAGGTGCCATTGCAAGTGCATAGTAGGCCACGGACTGCGCTTGAGCGTGGCCATTCACGGCCAAGGTGTGCAGTCGTAGTCTTGGGCAGTTTGAGATGCAAACTGCGCAGTGCAAAGGCTATGGGCGTTCCAGTTGCGGTGACTTCATAGCAAATATGTGCACAGTCGGTCATTTACTTTGTAGGGCACATGCACAGAGTGAGAATAAATAAAAGAATCTTTCGATGCCTTCGTTCATTTTGAGAAGAAGGTTCGTTTAGCAAATTGAGACCTTCAGGCTTCATTTCACCCCTAAATAATAATAATAAATTATAAAGATATGAGGTGTGCATTTTCATCACAGACGTGCAAGAGCTTTTAGCTCGCATGCCGTATTGGAAGGCGACAGGTCCAGATGGTGTTCAGTGGTACTGGATGAAGAAGTTTACTTCTTTGCATACTGCAATGGCCGCGCGCTTAACGCATGCCTGCAGGATGCCGAAGTGCCAGCTTGGCTGAATCATGGTCGCACAGTTCTGATCATGAAAGACCCTGGCAAGAATGCATCTGATGTCACCAATTACCGACCAGTTTCCTGCCTTCCAGTCATGTGGAAGTTATTCTCCGGCATTCTGGGCAATAAGATCCCAGCCCATCTTGAGACTGTATCTCTGCTGCCTGATGAGCAGAATGGTTGCAAGCGCGAAACGTATGGCACTAAAGATCAACTCGTCATTGACCTGGCCGCTATGGATATTGGATAACTGTACTCAGTAACTCTTTAAATTTTACAGGCTATGTTTTGAAGTTGATTGTTGCAACTAGGAACACAAGCTTCTTGCAACTAGGAACACAAGCTTCTTGCCGCCGAACTTGACACTTGACTGACTCCTAGTTCCTAGTTGGAACAATCAACTTCATGACTATTAGTACTACCGCCGAAGTCGCATTTTCTAAGTTAGGCTATGTTTTATTATTATTTGATAACCGCAATCAATAAAACTTGCTGAACCGACATTTGTGTACTTTATTCATGCAATGTAAAAACGGTGGAGACGATGTGCAATAAAACGATGGAAATATGAAGAAATGGTGTAGGGAAAAAATATGGATTCAAACAAGTTTTCGTACAACACTCATCAGGAATCGTCGTTGTACTAAAGGACACTGAATCCATAAAAAAACTGAAACTTGTTTGAATCCATATTTTTTCCCTACACCATTTCTTCATATTTTCATCGTTTTATTGCACATCGTCTCCACCGTTTTTACATTGCATGAATAAAGTACACAAATGTCGGTTCAGCTAGTTTTATTGATTGCGGTTATCAAATTATTGTCTCCTCGCCGTGTGTTTTTATTATTATTATTATTATTGTGAAAAAAGGGTTTGCTCCCCACACCGGAGCTCGCGCTATTCCGCCGACTTTACTTGACACTTGATGCGGAATAGCGCGAGCTCCGGTGTGGGGAGCAAACCCTTTTCTTACAAATCATCGCCGAAGTCGCAACCACTACTTCGTATTATTGTAAAGCTTTCCTTTTGATCTTGTCTCTTATTGTTGTGACCTTTCCATAATATTGTGTTGTATTGTAAAAAAAACCCTGGCCGCTATGGCGGACAGTAAGCGTCGTAGAACCAATTTGGCCATGGCGTGGGTGGACTACAAAAAGGCCTGCGATATGGTTCCTCACGATTGGATTGAGCGCTGTTTGGCATACACGAATCCGTACGCAGACTTATGACTGTTAGTTTGGCTCCGTGGAAGGTTGACCTTTGGAACGGCACCAACAACTAAGTTACTTGGGATCGGTGGCCATTCAGCGTGGGATTTTCCAGGGTGACTCCTTATCCCCACTGCTGGTCGTCATCTGCCGCATACCGATCACCATGGTCTTACGGAAGGCTGACGAAGCCTACTGTTTCAATGACCAAACCCGTACCAAGCTCAACCATCTATGGTACACGGATAACCCGTCAAGCTGTATGCAAAGAATGAAAAGGGGTTGCGATCTCTTGTTCACACTGTTCATGGCTGTAGTCAAGACATTGGCATGCAATTTGGTGTGGCAAAATGCGCTACCACTGTGCTAAAGGCAGGAAATCATGCAGCCTCTGAGGAGATCCTATTGCCTGACAGCTCATCTTTTTTTATTTTTTTTACTGAATACCACAGAACCATCAGATACTGCACAGCGGGGGCGGTGGCATATTGGATGGAAGTGGGGGCGGGGCAAAAGTAACTCCTCCGACCAAAGGTCTCGGAATCATCATTACTCCTGTGCGCCGATACATAGGAGAAAAGAACATGTGCATCCCAGAGGGAAGCACCGGCTTTGCAAACGATACTGGGGAGAATTTGAGATTGAGATACAGTAAGATCGGGCGCCGAAGAACACCTCGCCGAAGAACGCCCAGGCTGGAAAACCGGCAAAATTTAAGAACAGTCCGGGCTAGAATTATCAGATTTAAGAACACTAGATCTACATTGTACGTAGATCTACATTGTACATGTATGGGAGGTGAGTACATGTCATGTACACGTGTAAACAGTAACTGCTACATGTACAGTCATTCCCATTTACGACACCCACTAGTTTAGAAGTACATTGCACTACATGTACATGTACATGTACATGACAAACGCCATGTCACTCGACTCCCCGCGCGCGTGTGAATAAGAACGGTCTGGCTAGAATCAAAAATTTAAGAACTTTCCTAGGCTGCGCTCGAGCCCCTGCGTTCTTCGGCGCCCGATCTTACTGTAGGACATAACAATAGTAAAAGCAGTGCACCGTGGGAAGATGGAGAGAACTGATAATCGCATATTCATCAGGTCGCTACAGCGAGAAGAAACGTACAAATACCTCGGATTCCTTGAAGCTGGAGGTATGGACCATTCAAGTATGAAGCCGTGACGACAATCCTGCACCTGCAGGAGTACAAGTGGCGTGTGCGGCGAGCACTCCGCCCAGCTCAACGACCACAACATCATCACAGCCATCAACACCTGGGCTGTGGCTTTGATACGGTATAGTGCTGGTATCTTGGCATGGACGCAGGACGAGTTGAAATCTGCTGATCGAAGAACGCGCAAGCTTATGGCTACAGTATACATGGAGCTCTCCATCCACGCGCTCATGTAGCCCGTATGTACGTCAGTCGCAAGGAGGGTGGACGTGGTTTGCAAAGTATCCATGATGTTGTCACCATGGAGAAAAGCAATGTGCAGCGTTACGTGCTTCAGTCAGACGAGGAACTCCTGAAGGTGGCTGTGCCCATTCTGTAGCCATATCAGAATGCCCCGCCGGACTTCTCACAGGTGGTGAAGTGTCGGCTTCAAAAAGAACACCTCTTGGCGTGGACCCAGAAACCCTTGCATGGACAGTTTGTCCGGCAAACAGAACAACTGACCAACGAGAACACCTGGAGTTGGCTGACAAAGGCTGGTCTCAAGAAGACCACAGAGAGCCTGATCATCGCGGCACAAGACCAGGCCTTGGCACCAAGTCCCAAATCTTCCCAGCAGAAGCAGGAATAGAAACGTCTTCTCACTTTTCTGGCGACCTACCTTTAAAAAAAAGAAAAGAAAAAAAATACAGTACTCGTACAATCATACATTGCCCTGCATGCAGTGCAGTATGAACTGAGCACGTGTTCCATCGCGCCATCCCGGCGATGCCCCCGCGCACTTCCAACTCACAAGTCAAAGTAAAGTGGCATCAGTGATTTTTTTGGACTTTTCGAAACCCAAGTAATTGTTTCCAGTGAACAGTGTTGGGTTATTTTCTTTTTCAAGTTGGCAGACCAGCAAACCTGTTCAAGGAGTACATTGCAAATCTGCGTTTCCTGTGGTGTGGTCTTGTCGGGTTGTTGTTCATTAGGATCTGGTCACAGCGGTCAACATTTCGTGACCAGACCTGCAAGATCAAGTGCGCCTGCCTGTGTGCCTGTTTCAGGGTTTGACTTTGAATAGTGATACAAAAACTTCGAAAAGACTTGCAATAAATAAACTTTATAAAGCCATTGAGTGGAGTATTTGAGAATGGGTAATTCTCCCAGCTATCCTCGCGTTGATCTGACGGGTCGTACGGCTCTGGTGACGGGTGCGAATACGGGCATTGGTTACGAAACGGCCAAGGCACTGGCGGGCATGGGCTGCAACGTCACTGTGGCTTGTAGAAGCGAGCAGAGAGGATTGGCGGTGAGCGAGTGAACGTGGATGCACCCCAACACCCCTCCCCAGACAAGTTATGAGATATGTGTGACAGTGACTTTTGTCGTTTGTTTGACCATGTAGATATACTGATATGCGTCTGGACCGTATTTATTTGGAACTTTTCTTCTGGTTACACCAACCTTTTATTTTTCTCTGGTGTGTTCGGACCGCGCACTGTGTATGTGTCGACGTGTCTGCATGTATGCATGATCAACAGTATGCGTATGCATGCCAATGCAAATACCTTGCTAACATCGAATGTGTTTGCACGGGTGCACACACGCACACGCGCTCTTCCGCGCGCGCGCGCGCACACACACACACACCCAAACACACACACACACACACATCGCACGCACACACGCACACACACACACACACGCACACACCTGTCTGCAGGCTATCCAGCGCATGCGGGACGAGCTGCCCGACCAGACACTGGAGTTGGAGTTCTCTGCACTTGACTTGGGATCTTTAGAGGCAACAAAGAGTTTTGCAGAGCAGTATGCCGCTAGCCACACCAGCTTACATCTGCTTGTAATGAATGCAGGCTGTGCTATGCCCGCCATCGGTGAGTTGCCTAATCATAATAATTATGACCAAAACTATGAATGGACTCGGATGGAGAGCCAAGGGTAAATATATAATAAAGAAAAAAGAACCAAGGAACTACAAGTTACGCTATAATGTCCACTAGCACCACCAGTTAGTTAATCAGCTCATGCGATAACATTTCACGACACTGACCGACGGTACTGACAGTACTGACGTTCTACAACTAATCGCATGTTTTCGCATGAGATGATTGTTTAGTAACTGGTGGTGTTAGTGGACATTATAGCGTGACTTGTAGTTACTTGGTTCTTTACTATAAATCTATGAATAGAAGAATAGAACACGTGTTTGGAACGGACAAAGAAATGTTGCCGACATAATTCCATGAAGAACAAATGAAATCGAATATGCCAACAAATATGTCCTCAACATTTGTTCTAAGAAGAACAGAGGACCAAAGAGCTACAAGTTGCGCTAGAGTATGCACTAACGCCGCCAGTTTCTTTACAATCGGCTCATGCGATAACATTGCATCAGCATGAGCTGATTGTAAAGTATCTGGTGGTGTCAGTGCGTATTCTAGCGTAACTTGTAGCTCTTTGGTCCACTTTTTCTTCTTATAAATTAATCCTTGCCTCTCCATCCGAGTCTGACCTTTGTTCTATTCATGGGTTTGTTGACACTTCTTTCTCTGAAACGGTTTTTTGTACAGGTGGAATCCTGATAATTCGAACCTCAAAATGCCAGGAAAAAAACTTCTAATTTTATCCAAACATGCACCCACAACACAATATGTATGTCAAAATGCTCTCATGATCACGCAGAGTTGCGCTATGGACCTTAGACACAGGTTTCATGGATACTGAACTGACCAGCACAGCCTGCTCATGCAAACTGAACTGACCAGTACAGTGTACAGTGAACTTCGAATTACACTTGGCTAACTTCGAATTATCAGCACAAATCCCACACATTTGGCGAATTATCAGAAATTGTTTATGTGGGAATCGTATTGCTAGACATCGGTCCTGGAAAAACTTCTAATTAAGCGGTATGTTCGAATTAAGCCATATTCGAATTATCAAGATTCCACCTGTATAATAAATAATTATTTCTGCACTTTCCAGGGTATAATCAGTACGGGCGTCAAAGCCGCACCCAGATGTTGTCGTCACGAACTACAGACATCTTCTTCCCTGTACTGTAGTCCATCAGCGTTAGTTTGACCATCGTAGCATAAGCCGTACATTGACTTACTGCTGTTTGTGCTAATCTAAGCCTATTCCACGGGCAAAGCACAGTGCAAGTAGTTATTATATGGTTAGCATTTTGCCGTTCACGCTAAATCCAACGGTACTCGTACCCAACACCCGAAATATCGTCAGTTTGGTATCGTTTCGACCATAGAAAGCTCCGTTTAGCGGGAGAACGAAACGGTAAGATTCCAACTAGGGGCCGACATCCTGGAAGACAGCTAGAGTCACACCCATTCACAAGAAGAAATCCAAGAACCTGCCTCAACACTACAGACCTGTGTCTCTGCTGTCTATCATATCCAAAGTGATGGAAACAATTGTCAATCGTCAGATAACCAGTTTCGTGGAGTCCCACAATGTCATCTCTGCGAAACAGTTCGGGTTCAGAAAGGGCCTGAGCACAGCCGACGTCTTAACCAAGCTCCACTGTGAATGGTCCCGAGCAGCCGGCCTAGGAGGAGCCGCCCATGTTTTGGCGATAGACATAGCAGGCGCCTTTGATAAAGTCAGCCATGCTGGCCTGCTGCATAAGGCTTCCGTGTACGGTCTAGACGGCCCGCTTCTCGGATGGCTGGAAAGCTACCTGCACAACCGGCGCCTGCAGGCTGTTGTGGGCGGCCAAGAGTCCTCCCTGCACCATATCCAAGCAGGGGTACCACAAGGTAGCATCCTTGGACCAACGTTATTCCTCCTGTACGTAAATGACTGCGAGGACACCTTGCCTGCTGGTGCTGAGCTTACCACGTATGCAGATGACACGACACTGTATCAGTGCATCTCTGCCACCGCCAGCATATCCGACTCTGCAGCACAACTCCAGGAAGCAGTGGACGCCGTCTCCCACTGGGGTTCCAAGTGGAAGGTCACCTTCGAGCCATCCAAATCTCAGGCCCTCATCATCGACCACCGCAAGCCTCCCCCAGCATTCCCACCAGTGCTCTTCAATGGAGTGACTGTTCCTGAAGAGAAGGAAATTAAACTTCTGGGCATAGCATTCGACTCGCAACTGTCCTACGCAGCACACCTCCGGGCCGTGGCCTCAAAGGCTGCCCAACGCCTACACTTCCTGAGAAAGGTTGCGCCCCTGTTGGACTCCAGCGGCCGCACGGCAGTCTACAAAGGCTTCGTGCGGCCAACAATGGAATACTGCTGCCTGGTGTGGATGGGGTCAGGTACATCCAGGCTGGACAAAATCCAGCACAAGGCACTGAAGGTGATTGGCCCAGGCGCCTGGCTCCCCAGCCTGAAACACCGCCGACTGGTTGCTGCGCTTTCGTTCACGTTCAAGCTGTCTTACCTTCCAACAACAAGCCCCCTGAAGCCCATCCTCCCACCTCCAGCCAATCCCCGCCCAGTGGGTGGTCGATCCACTAGGTTAGCCACGGAGACTGCCCACTGCCACCCGCTCCAGCTCAAGTCGACGCTGCCCGTGCGCATTCGTAGCAGCCTCCAGGGTTCCTACCCAGACTGCATTATTCCCTTGTGGAACAGCCTACCAGCGACCATTCTACCAGCACGGCCGCAACCCAGCCAGCTCCAATCATTCAAAGAAAAATGCAACAAGTATCTGCTGCACCTGAACTGGCAAGCAGCCACCGACGCCCTATGAAACGGTTTAGACCAGTGCCTCACTAGCATCCTCCCCCCCCCCCCCCCCCCCCCCCTTACCACAATGTGACGTTATCTTTCACTCTGCTTCTCTCACGACCATCTACCCATTGTCCTTGTTTCTCACTATTATTCATTTCCCCTCTTCCTCCTCTCTACATGGTTTTACTGCATTATGGCGCGCTTTGTCTGCGTAGACGCCGAGACCTTTGAGGTCGGCAGAGCAGCCTGGCCCCGCCACCACTTCTCGCACATATTCGGGAATATAGTGGACTTTCGTATAAAAAAATAAAAAATAAAAAATAAAAAAGGGTTACTTCACAAGTCGATCGTTGTGTCAGAAACCGAACTGGTAACCATGTCTTGAAAACACCCCCAACAAACAGTACATGCCGACGGTGGAAGTTAGCGTGAGCGGTAAAATGCTAACCATGTCAAATGAAGTCGGAGAACCCAACACAAACAACCCTATGTACGCGCGTAGTAAATTGAAACAAGATAATGCACTGCCAAGCACCATGTCACCCATGCTCACCACCTGAGGAAGTTTTTTGTTCATCCTATTGCGACACTGAAGTATTTCGAATTATTTCCTACCCTTCCCTGCTGGTGACTCTTGCACTGCTATAGACCCAGTGTGACTCTTGCACTGCTATAGACCCAGTGTGACTCTTGCACTGCTATAGACCCAGTGTGACACTTGCACTGCTATAGACCCAGTGTGACACGGTGTGGGATACAGTGGGGAGAATCGGTTTCTTGTGAGATATCTGCTTTATCTGTATGGTGGGGCGAGGGAGTATTGCTATAATTGCTTGTGCTGCCTAGCTTGGTGTTTTGTTTTGCTGTGGCTGGCTGTGTTGGCGGTGTCAGGGGGCCGTTTTGACGGTGGTGGTGGTGCTGCTGCTGGTGCTGCTGGTGCTGCTGCTGCTGCTGGTTGTAGTGGTGGTGATGATGGTGGTGATGATGGTGGTGATGATGGTTGTATTGGCGATGATGATGGTGGGGATGCTGGTTGTAGTGGTGGTGGTGGTGGTGCTGCTGCTGCTGCTGCTGGTGCTGCTGCTGCTGCTGCTGGTTGTAGTGGTGGTGATGATGGTGGGGATGCTGGTTGTAGTGGTGGTGATGATGGTGGTGATGATGGTTGTATTGGCGATGATGATGGTGGGGATGCTGGTTGTAGTGGTGGTGATGATGGAGGGGATGCTGGTTGCTGTAGCGGCAGTGCTGGAGATAACGGTTCTGGTGAAGATGGTGGGGTGATAGTAGCAGCCGCTGTGATGGTGGCTGGGTTATACAACTAGCTGATAACTCTGACAAATGTGAAGCACTTGGTAAACGTGGCCTTGTCCTGTTCTTGGACAAGATGACTTTTCTTTGCTGTGTCATGTCTTATTGTTGTTTCAAATCTTTATTCTCACGATGGCCTAAAGATTTGAAACACCAACAACAACACATACAGCAGAGAAAAGTCATCTTGTCCAAGAACAGGACAAGGCCGTTGTTGTTGTTGTTGTTGTTGTTGTTGTTGTTGTTGTTGTTGTTGTTGTTGTTGTTGTTGTTGTTGTTGTTGTTGTTGTTGTTGTTGTTGTTGCTGCTGTTGTTGTTGTTGTTGCTGTTGTTGTTGTTGTTCTAAACACTTTTCTCACTTTTCTTGTTGTTGACGGCTACATCATTGCCTGTCCATGCAGGTGGTACGGGGGACGGCTATGAATCTCAGTACCAGATCAACTTTCTCAGCCACTTCCTGATGACGCTGCTGCTGATGCCCTTGCTGCAGAACACCGTCACAGCAAGTAAGTGCTGGATTGCGGTGGTGCCTTGCCAGGAGACGCAAAACAAGTTCATGTCCCAGGGTAGCATGCAGACATGTTACCATGCATTGTACTTGGATGGAAAACAAAGGATTAAAATTAAAGGAAAAGACCAAAAGTTTGTTTGCACCGTAGTGTGTCCAACACTAGTACCGTAAAATCCCGCCAGAGCGCCCCTACCTCCTCGACGCTTCGGGTGGGGAGGGGCGGATGGGCGAGTCCTACATGTACTTGCCGCATTCAGTACTGTACATGAACAAGTACTCACCCTACGAAAACTGTTCGTGCATCTCGTACACCGACCAAAGCCTCAACGGTCAAGAGCCAGGAGTCGTACAGACCCGTCAAAACGCAGGGTTTGTGCGATCCCTGGTCAGGAGGGTGGGCACTGTTGCGTACATTTCCAACGGGGTCGAGCACGCGTCTGCAGTGCAGCACGGCATCACAGACTGCGACAGAGTCATACGAGGATACAATCAATCACGTCCCTGACAAGAAGTCAGGGAGGGGCGGATGGGAGAGACGGGGCGGATGGGAGAGACGGGGCGGATGGGAGAGACGGGGCGGATGGGAGAGACGGGGCGGATGGGAGAGACGGGGCGGATGGGAGAGACGGGGCGGATGGGAGAGACGGGGCGGATGGGAGAGACGGGGCGGATGGGAGAGACGGGGCGGATGGGAGAGACGGGGCGGATGGGAGAGACGGGGCGGATGGGAGAGACGGGGCGGATGGGAGAGACGGGGCGGATGGGAGAGACGGGGCGGATGGGAGAGACGGGGCGGATGGGAGAGACGGGGCGGATGGGAGAGACGGGGCGGATGGGAGAGACGTGGCGGATGGGAGAGACGGGGCGGATGGGAGAGACGGGGCGGATGGGAGAGACGGGGCGGATGGGAGAGACGGGGCGGATGGGAGAGACGTGGCGGATGGGAGAGACGGGGCGGATGGGAGAGACGGGGCGGATGGGAGAGACGGGGCGGATGGGAGAGACGGGGCGGATGGGAGAGACGGGGCGGATGGGAGAGACGGGGCGGATGGGAGAGACGGGGCGGATGGGAGAGACGGGGCGGATGGGAGAGACGGGGCGGATGGGAGAGACGGGGCGGATGGGAGAGACGGGGCGGATGGGAGAGACGGGGCGGATGGGAGAGACGGGGCGGATGGGAGAGACGTGGCGGATGGGAGAGACGGGGCGGATGGGAGAGACGGGGCGGATGGGAGAGACGGGGCGGATGGGAGAGACGGGGCGGATGGGAGAGACGTGGCGGATGGGAGAGACGGGGCGGATGGGAGAGACGGGGCGGATGGGAGAGACGGGGCGGATGGGAGAGACGGGGCGGATGGGAGAGACGGGGCGGATGGGAGAGACGGGGCGGATGGGAGAGACGGGGCGGATGGGAGAGACGGGGCGGATGGGAGAGACGGGGCGGATGGGAGAGACGGGGCGGATGGGAGAGACGGGGCGGATGGGAGAGACGGGGCGGATGGGAGAGACGGGGCGGATGGGAGAGACGGGACGGATGGGAGAGACGGGACGGATGGGAGAGACGGGGCGGATGGGAGAGACGGGGCGGATGGGAGAGACGGGGCGGATGGGAGAGACGGGGCGGATGGGAGAGACGGGGCGGATGGGAGAGACGGGGCGGATGGGAGAGACGGGGCGGATGGGAGAGACGGGACGGATGGGAGAGACGGGACGGATGGGAGAGACGGGGCGGATGGGAGAGACGGGGCGGATGGGAGAGACGGGGCGGATGGGAGAGACGGGGCGGATGGGAGAGACGGGGCGGATGGGAGAGACGGGGCGGATGGGAGAGACGGGGCGGATGGGAGAGACGGGGCGGATGGGAGAGACGGGGCGCTCTGCCGGGGTTTTACGGTAGTTGTTTTTAACTGAAAATGACCAGCGGTGACTTTCTACAGTTAGATGGTCGGAAAGGGTCTGTCGTCACTTGCAGAGTTTCAAGGTCTGTAGATGGTGCTGGCAATGCCGCTTGTGGAACCTGGTCAGGTTTATGCATTCAGTGTGAGCGACCAGGGACGGAGATCCAGCAAGCCGCAACAAGTCTGGCCAGCTCTGCCGCTTGCCAGTGGTGAAGTCAGTGCGGAGTAGCTGACCTCTCCTGCTTTCTGTTTTGCTCTCTGTCCTGCTCTCTGTCCTGCTCTCTGTCCTGCTCTCTGGAGCATTTTCCAACTTATGACATGGCAGCAATGCTGACTGGTCCTTTGTGCAGACAATGCAGAGCTGGGCTGAGTTAAACAGATTTTGCTGGTACCATTCAACCGTACCATGGTTAGGTACAGGCCCATCTTGACGAGATGTGGCAGTGCAGTGCAGAGGCACACACTCACCGGGCATGTGTATGCAGGATATGCCGTGTATGTTTGGAACTTGCTATAACTGCAATCCAACCCCTGGAGCAGTGCGCTAGCCTTGCTACAACTGAAATCCAACCCCTGGAGCAGTGCGCTAGCCTTGGTCCCGTGCGAAAGAACACCAATAATTATACTTGCTGAGATGCTCATGAACAATGCTTAGTTTAATGCGATGGGCCAGGAGGCATGACTGTCTCTGGGAAAGGATAGAGATGGAGCTAGCGGTGGTCAGACGTAACAGACCAGAGCAGCGTGGCGCATGATCTCACCACCCTCCAGGCATGGAGTGTATGCCACACTACCTACACTTATGCTCCCTATCGATATCAGGCACCCTGAATCTACGGCATGGTACGGACTTACAATACAATTGCCCCCTCGGATTCAGATCTTTGACCATGAAGTCCATGTGTTTCTCTACGTAACGACTTTGAACAAAACAGGAACATAATGTGCTCAGTTAGGGAAGAGAGGCCTATCGGCTCAGTTAGGGAAGAGAGGCCTATCGTGCTCACGCCAGGAAGTAGGAGCTTACTGATGGTGTCACCAGACGGGATCGAATTTATTTACAAATATCTCAAAGCCAATCCCTTCGCCAGGAGCAAGACAATATCCACTCATCCGTATGCAGTTCGTCCTGGAGGTGGAAGTACTGCAACGTGGACGGTCCGGTCCGGCTTAGTTGGAATCGACCTGGTCCCAAGTTTCGGCGTCCGTGCTGCAAGTTCGTTTTGACAGATCGTGCGAAGAACATACGGCTGGTATGGTCCACCCAGCAGGACTACGAGGAGTTCTTCCACAGTGTGTTCACGGACGAAGCGTGCTTCGCTGCTGGCCCCGATGGCCGCTTACCTCTGTGATTTCCTCGAGTTTCCAGGCCAATTGCGGAGCATCACCAGTATCCAACGAGGGTCCATGCGCTTGGTGCAATGTCGATTTTCGGCACCGTCGGTGGGCTCGCCTTCGCGCCGAAACATGGAATGCTGACACGTTTGCAGACGCCGTCGAACTGGAAGCTGTGCCTAGTGCCACAGGGTTCTTCAATCAAGACTGGGCCATGTACATGCACCATGCCACAATGCCGCATCGAGCAGGATGAGCGTAGGGCACCTGCTCGATAACGGAGCTCCTCAACTCCTCTTTCACGCATCATTGTCACCAGACCTAAACGCCATAGAGGAATCAAAACCAATCAAGAAGTCAAGAATCGTGCCACACAAGTGGCGCACTGGTGCACGGTAGGGTGAAGCCCTCACTTCAGAGTGGAAGAGACTGACGGGATGAAATAGCTCCAGTTGTTGAGTCTATGCCTAAGATATCACCGCCGATGGCTGCCACACCAAGTATTGAACTTGATCATTTCACAGCTTGAAGCCACTGTTTTTGAATCCTGAAACTGAACCGCTGTTATTCTTGTGTGCTCGTGTGGACTGGCCTTGGAGAGGCTTGTCTCGCAGCACTACAACTTATTGAACTTAACATGTACACATGTTCAGTTGTACACGTACGTGCACAAGCTTAAAAAATGAGTGCCGTAACAGTCACCGTCTTGCCTTGCTGGCTCGATTCGGGCAGGCGCGTAGTTCATGTATAGTCAGCGTAGTCTTGTCGCCACAGCAGCAAATGGTCGTCATAGCTACTACTTAGTCGAAATTGGCAAAATGACGACTGTGAGGTTGCCGGTGGTACATGATCACCACACCACAGATGTACAGTCTGATACATGGTCACCACACTACAGATGTACAGTATGATACATAGTCACCACACCAGAGATGTACAGTCTGATACATGGTCACCACATCACAGATGTACAGTCTGACACATGGTCACCACACCACAGATATGCGAGCTACCCCCCTGAGGGCAATGCACAGCAGTCGCTGGAACACATTTTCCGGCTGAAGCATTCATACGAGAAAACCCAGTGGTTGCCTTCATTTACCAGAACTGTAGTTCATGGCCACCGAATGGCTTACCGTGCAAGTAGAATATTTAGTTTGTGAATTTGTCGTCCAACTCCAAAGAAAAGGCAGTTGTCTGGTGGAATTTTCCGTGCACGGATTATTTCAGGGCCTATATAATGTGAAAGGGGGGTCTAGACCGTTCTTGGTAGAATAATTATGTGTGTTTGTGTGTGTGCGTGCGTGTGTTTGTGACTGTGTGCACCCACTTGTGCTCACCTACGTATGTTTTTGTGTCTGCTCGGGTGAATTTACATGGATGTTTACATGCATTTTGCGTTTGTTCCTTCAGTGGCAGAAGAGCCAGCAGCACCGTCCAGCGATACCACTGCATCCGATTCCTCTACCACTGCAGAGGAAGCAGCATCACCACCACCAGCAGCAGCAGCAGTGAAAGAAGTGCAGCAAGCTACGAGAGAAGTACGCGTGATACACGTATCGTCCACAGCGCACACGCTGGGTAAACTGGACCTGGATGTGCAAGCACCAGCGGAGGGAACCCCGGGCTCTATGCAGCACTACAACCGCTCTAAGTTTTACCAGGTAGGTCAAGCACACTGGGAAGTTGAATTTAAATACCGTAAAGTTACGTATAAATACAGTGATATTGGGCAAGCGAGGCTCTATGCGGCACTCTAACCGTTCCAAGATTTACCAGGCATGCCAACAACAGAATTTAAGCACCGTAAGAATGAATATGACGACAGTGCATCCTGTCACACCAGCCACCAATGTCTGATTTGGGCAGTGCCAAGTCACAATTTTATGCATGACTACGTTATGCGATGCGCTCGTCTCCCCATGCACTCTTCAACATTTCTATATGACATCATTGTGTTGGCCGTGTGACATCATCGTGATTGAGTTGTGCCATAATTGTGCGGGACCGGGTATAGCCAGCGAGTGAGCCCACCACCTTTGGATCGGCTCTAATCTTTGTTTGATTTCTTGTGTGCGTGTGTGTGTGTGTGTGTGTGTGTGTGTGTGTGTGTGTGTGTGTGTGTGTGTGTGTGTGTGTGTGTGTGTGTAGGTTCTGATAGCTAACTACCAACACCGACACTTCAATCGTCCTGGTCTGGCTTTTCATTCCTTGCATCCAGGCATGGTAGGTTGTTACATGGTTGTACAGTTGAGCTCACTGAAATCCGACCCAAAGTGCAAAACTGACGCCCTGGACCAGTTCCGATTACATCAAGTTGAGGGCGCCAGATATGCACTTTTGGTCGGATTTCGCCGAACACAACTGTACCTTGATGTACATGTGTGTGTAAGCCTTGCTTTTAATAGCACCAGTCTATAGCTGTGGTCAATGCTGTAACCTCCTCTCTTGAATCCTGTAGCGCGCTACCAGTACCCCCAGTGCACTGTCCACTACTGCATATGTCTAGAGTTGTAGTACAGCATACAGCACTGCAGCTGGCTCAGGACATCCGCTCCTCACCCCCCCCCCCCCCCCTTTTCACCCTGAAGTCACTTAACTGGCTCAGACATCCGGTCCTCACCCCCGTTTTACCCTCACTTAGTTGGCTCAGGACATCCGGTCCTCACCCCTGTTTCACCCTCACTTAGTTGGCTCAGGACATCCGGTCCTCACCCCCGTTTCACCCTCACTTAGTTGGCTCAGGACATCCGGTCCTCACCCCCCGTTTCACCCTCACTTAGTTGGCTCAGGACATCCGGTCCTCACCCCCCCCCCCCCCGTTTCACCCTCACTTAGTTGGCTAAGGACATCCGGTCCTCACCCCCGTTTCACCCTCACTTAGTTGGCTCAGGACATCCGGTCCTCACCCCCGTTTCACCCTGACTTCACTTTGCTGCAGTGTAGGTGTTGCTACAATGATGTGATCGACTTCTTACGAAGAAAAACTCTAGCAGTGACTTAGCGCACGATATAAGCCTGAAGGCTTGACTCAGGGTTCTTTCATATATGGACGTGTCTGGCATGTGTGTGTGTGTGTGTGTGTGTGTGTGTGTGTGTGTGTGTGTGTGTGTGTGTGTGTTTATGTGTGTGTGTGTGTGTGTGTGTGTTTGCACGCTCGCGCACACGTGTGTGTGCACGTGTGTACCTGTATGTACTGCACACTGTCCAGGTAAAGACGGAGCTGGCACGTGATTTTACCGGAGCATGGAAGCATATCTCTGGAGCATTGAATGGCATGGGTAAGTGTCATGGTTTGTTTTGGCACCAGAGAGTCTTGGTCATGCTGGAATCCCACCAAGGGCACAATTCCCCTGCCTGAGTCAAGCAGTTGATGCTCTGCCAGGCCCACCGGAACCGGTCCGGTCGTTCAGGCCGTGACCTGACCAACTTTTCGGCCACCAACGTGTGTTTAGTACTGATCAGGTCGATTTACACCCAAAACAGCGCAACCATAAACGGCGCGTGTTCATATTAGCACCCCCAGTACAGCGCGACCTAATGTGACACTGTGTCACCACAGCTCGTCTCGTCTCTTGCACGCCCCATTTTGGCGCGACCAATTACGTTAACGTCCGAATATAAGCCACCTCATTACACACGTGACCCATAATGTGCAGGCTCATGTTAGCAAGAGTACATAACCAGTGTTATGTACTCTTGATGTTAGTATTACCATGGTGGATACCAGGAGCAAACCCGTTCCTAAAAAAGATGTGTTTCTTCTCTTTTTTACATTAATTTTATTACTGGCTCAGTATCCGAGTTTAAGAAAGATATAATAATAATAATAATAATAATAATGGCCGAGGGATTATATCGGTTGAGCACCTGCTGGAAAGGAAGCACATCCGCCTGTCTATGTACCTCCAGGTGCACTCTGACCTGCCTCTGATTGCTGCTCTGCATTCTCATCCCGAAAATCTCCCACCTGCAAAGTCGATCATCTCCCGGGCAGCCACGGCTATGGAGCATCTCAACATCCCGGACATCGGAGGTCCGATGAGTTGTACTACCTCCAATTATTTATTGATTTTCAGCCCGGAGTGGAATAAAGAATCATAATTCTCCCACCCCGATTGACAACTTTAGATTCCCTAACAGAATATAAACGTCCAAGCATCTCGTGACTCTGCCCACAATTTGTAACGTCTTTTCTTTTCTCTATTTTATTCTCTTTACCAGGCGTGGGCCATCCCCTGGATTATCAAAATGGGTGCCTTATTAAAAATTTAATAGTGTACTGTTTTTTGAGACGATCATTGCCTTCTGCAACGATAATTGTTTTTTTTAGTTCATCATTGCTTTCTAGAGTTGATGATAAATTGAGTCCAGGCAATATCGCCCTTCAATACTGAACTGGCCATTTCGAGTTGATCATGATTTGAGTCTTTGACAAGTCGAGTGTCCATCTTTTGGGTTTGAGTGTAAATGAGTCGACCTGTATTGAGCGTGCGCGCTGACGGGGTGGTCTGTTTTGGGGATGTCCAGTTATGGGGATGGGGCTTTTGGGGGGCGCTGAAGTCAACGGCGCTGTTTTGGGTCGCGCTCATGTGGGGGCATGTGACTACCCTCCATATCATACACAAACTGTATGAAAGTCATGTGTACATGTCTACCCTCCATATCATACACAACCTGTATGAAAGGCTAGGGTATGGCTGGACCAATCACAAACTCCTTCCACCAGTCCTGCAATCTACTACTGTGCAGCACAGTGCAGTTAGCTCATCCACCTCACAACTTATATTACTGTTCTGAAGCAAACGGTGGATTTTCCTAGGCCAGTACTGTTGCACTGTTGGCTCAATTTGTGCATGTTGGCAAGCCTTCATTCAGCTCCTCACTGCCATTCCGTGTGGTTTAGTTTTTCTTGCGTATGGTATTTGACTGAGTCCATTATTCGCTGTTACCATGACGGTCCGTGGATACTGAAAATGGACGGTATGCGGTTGTGTATGTACGGATACGTATGCAAGTGTGCGTGTGTGTGCATGCGGTTGTGGGCCTAACGCTTACAATAACTTTTTCAATTCATGGATGTGTGCGTGCGTGTGTGTGTGTGTGTGTGTGTGTGTGTGTGTGTGTGTGTGTGTGTGTGTGTGTGCGTATTTCCCGTCCTGCTCGCACCAGGCCAGCTAAAGACACCAGAAGAAGGAGCGCGCACAACACTTAGTGCGTGTGTAGACCCACGCTGGGATGGCTTGCCTTCAACATACTTTGACGATTGTGTTCCTAATAGAAAGGCTACGAATAAAGCATTTCGGTGAGTGATATATGCACAAGTACATACAGAAGTACACACACTGGTTTGGGATGGGGTTGGTTTCTTAGAGTTGAAGCAGTTGTGTTGGTGATGGCTGTGGCGGTGGTGGGGTGGTGGTGCTTGTGGGTGCTGGCGGCAGTGGTGGTGGGGTGTGTGTGTCTCTGTGTCTGTGTCTGTGTGTGCATGTGTTGGGTGGAGGTCACAGCAGACTTCGTTATAGCGCTCTCTGATCCGCGACCCATCCTTCCACTTCCCTGTGGCGAGGCCCATCCTTTCCGGTACTTCAGCAAGGTCAAGTATGTCACGTGTATGTCTTCGTGGAATGTGTGAACTATATGTATGTAGCTGATCTCCGCCTTATGCCATTGGTGTACCTTTGAACCATCGGCAACTAGTTGTCTCTTCTCTCTTTCTCTCTCTCTCTCTCCCCTCTCTCTCTCTTTCTCTCTCTTTCTCTCTCTCTCTCTCTCTCTCTCTCTCTCTCTCTCTCTCTCTCTCTCTCTCTCTCTCTCTCTCTCTCTCCCTCCCTCACCCTCCCTCTCCACACACTTCAGGAATGAAGCTGATCAAGCTCGTCTCTGGAACTTTTCTCTAGGCCAACTCCAGGCCTACTTGGGGGATTCCCCACACCTCAACATTGACTGGGAGGCAGTGGAAGCTGCAAAGTCGAAGACGTCCCAAGTCGCCGCCGCACAGCCATCAAGTACAGAAGATGCTCCCGAAGCCGCTGCTGCTGCTGCCGCTTCCACACCGGCACAGCCAGAAGTGCCCAGTGAGAAAGGTGAGTCTTCAACTGCAATGCTGCTCAATGTGTTCACGATGACAGCATGAACAAGGTGGAGGACCCACTCACTGTATGTTCCTCCGCCTTGTTCATGCTGTCATCGTGAAAACATGTTTAACCTATCAAGGCAGGCTTGCATGTACAGCACTGCTCAATGCAATCCAGTCAAGTCACTCAAGTACCCGCCTAGCGTTGTGCAGCCCTGCACCTGCAAAGACTGGGCTGCGAAATGGTACAGGGTGCAAACTTGACTCGCACGACTGGATTTCATTGAGCAACACTGTACTACCCACTGTGCATTGTGACATGTACGTGGAAGCAGTACGAGTTCTAGCACACAGACTGGGATTGTTTGTGAACTGTAGTTTTATAATTGAGCTGGTTACCAGTCCTTCAAAAAGGTTGCTTACTGCAGTGGTTGCGTTACGACAGGTAACTAGCTGATAGTATGTGTTAGCTATGCCTGTATTCATGTGTGTCTATGGTCTGTATTCATGTGTGTCTATGGTCTGTATTCATGTGTGTCTATGGTCTGTATTCATGTGTGTCTATGGTCTGTATTCATGTGTGTCTATGGTCTGTATTCATGTGTGTCTATGGTCTGTATTCATGTGTGTCTATGGTCTGTATTCATGTGTGTCTATGGTCTGTATTCATGTGTGTCTATGGTCTGTATTCATGTGTGTCTATGGTCTGTATTCATGTGTGTCTATGGTCTGTATTCATGTGTGTCTATGGTCTGTATTCATGTGTGTCTATGGTCTGTATTCATGTGTGTCTATGGTCTGTATTCATGTGTGTCTATGGTCTGTATTCATGTGTGTCTATGGTCTGTATTCATGTGTGTCTATGGTCTGTATGCATGTGTGTCTACGGTCTGTATTCATGTATGTCTATGCCTCCATTCATGTGTGCACGGTGTGGATCTACAGAAGCTGAAGACAAGTGTGAGGACTCCCCTCAAGCCCAGCAAGAAGAGGAGGCACCAGTGAAGGCAGTTGGTGAGAATGGTGGCGATGAAGATGGAGCTGGTGCCACCACTGCTGCTACTGAGACTGAAGACTCTGCCACTGGCAGTGATACTGCTGAAAGTCCTGCTGCTCCTGCTGCTCCTGCTGCTGCTGTGGTAGGTGATGGTGTTGAGTCTAAACAGACTGAAGGTGACCAGGATGCTGCACCTGCGACTTCTGTTGGCGATGAGAAGGCAGCAGATACTCCTGACGCCGCTGATGCGTAAGTACACATACATGGGAGAACTGCTGACACACAAGCACACACACACGCACATGTATGCACACACACACACGCACACACCACTTCTGTCCTCCGAACTCTGTACATCAGGCAGCACGTCCTACCAAGATGCTGGTGTTACTTGCCAGTTAGCAGTTGCTCCTTCTCAACATGTAGCTAAGTAGTACATAGGATGCTTGTATGCGGTGGAAGCTACGTTGCTTGCATGGACAGTAAATTTATCGTGTAAGAGCCCTGAGTCCCCCTCCCGTATTATCCGTAACTTTCTTGCGACTCAAACTTGTTTAGTCACTTTGACTAGGGTACACAGTCTTTTCCGGTCATGTTTATTTCCCCTCTTATTTTAGTTATTAGCCGAAGCCAGCAGGACTGGTAAATCAATTGAGTGACTCCCAGCACACCGGAGATCAACCCACTCCCTACCCAGATCAATCCACTCCCTATCCATTCCATTCCACCTTCTGCATCATCAATTCATTTCCTCTTTGATACTCCGAAAAGCTCACATTTAGCCAACTATAATAATTGTTGTAACCAAAATGTAGTTATGATGTATAGCCACACATATGTTTACATACCAGTAAGCTGTTATTTTACATAATATTATTTTTTGGCAAATTTCTGCTGGACATTCTCTACATATGTTTAATAGAGTCATAAAATATAAGAATACAATTATTGTTATTTCCATAGGGGAGATGGAAAAGAAGTAAATGTATACTAAAACACGTTGAAAATGTTTCTTGCTCGCGTGCAAACAGAAGTGTCCGTGTGTGCGTACGTGTGTGTCACGCACATATATAGATTATTATATAATTTTATAGATATAAGATAAAAATGTATGGTGGGTAGTCATATTTCGGGCATAATTGTTGTTACGGCTCAAGGTCACATCCTGTTTGAAATAGCCTGTGTGTACGTCTGTGTGTGGGAGGGGGGGGGGGCATTGTTTTGATAGCATATTGTGTGTGTGTGTGTGCTTGTGTTTGTGCACGCGTATGTGTATGCGGCATGCATGCGTGTCTGTGGGTCATGTCATTTGACGTTGGTACCGATGTTTTCTTTTCCTGAGGGGACATGCATAACTATGATGATATCATTGACTAGAACAGTGCACAGCGTTTTGTCATAACCTGCTTAGCATGATGTCAGCACATTGACGTTGTAATGTTACACCATGGAGTTGGCCGACCTGCACTACTAGTAGTGTCACTGTTACTATTAATTATTAGAGTGCAACGGCGTACACTGTTCAACTTCCAGAATTCAGGTTGTACAGCGGATTTTCAGCCGCCTTCTCCGAACCGCCGACGGAAGCTGAGCCACCGTTGCTCTCGGGGCAATGTTGCTGGGAGCGCCCTGATCGCAACTTGCCCCACGGTTGAGAGCTGGAGGAACCCGATAAACGCTTCGACCACCAGGTTCCACCGGAGTTTCTGGATCCCGATGCGGAAGCAGTCTCGCTCGGCCGGCGATTCAAAGCAGCGGATGCGCTCATATTCTCCACTGGCTCCTCGTAAGCAAGACGACCATGCGTCAATGCCGTTGGTCTAGCGTCAGTCGGTGTCATGGCCATTGGTCGAGCATCAGTCGGCGATGGCGTACCCACGGATGTGAAGCCATTCTCCGTGTGGACAGCGTCCGGTCCGAATTGAGTGGGCAAAGCTGGTGGGGCGCCTCGAGGGGAATCCCCACGTGACATTCCAGCACCGACGCATTGGCCAAAGCGAGCAGCAAAGCCACCACGTCGAGGGTGGTTCCTGAATGAGTTGCGTTGGGCTGGAGTTACGGGTACTTCTACGTCTTCATATACATCTCCGTCTGGTATTTCCGCATACTGTCGACTAGCGTAAGATACAACTGACCCTCGGATCGGGGCAGGGTTTCCCAAGGGCGTAGACGGCGGTTGGTAGATGTTCTCGCTGGGCGCTTGGTCTTGCTGCCGTCGACGTGTCAGAGTAGATAGCAGATTATCAGCATCACCTTGCGGAGTGACGGCAGGTATTTGAGAAGCCGTCTTGCCGTTGCTGGGATTTTCGCTCGTCTCCGCAATGGCCTTGAGACGAGCTGATGGGTCAGCACACAAGGTGCCTGTGGGCGTTTGAAACGTGTCAGAGTCGAGTGAGGTGCGTGATGGACTTGCAGCTGCTTCCGGAACCTTTGGAGCAAAACACACAACACACATGCACATTTTACAAATAGGCACGCACACGTACACACGTACACACACACACACGTACACACAAACGTACACACACACGTACACACACACAGACGCAGACGTGCACCCACAAATATACTTTGAGATTTGCACGCACACGCATTTCTCATACACGGAACATAATTATCACGTTACCTATCATAAGATTATCACCTTACCTATCATAAGATTATCACCTTACTTATCATAAGAAACAGGCAACACAAGGTCAAACTCGTACCTCTTGCAGAATACATTTGAGAACCAACTGCCAGCTGGAAATGCTTTGCTTTTAGCCAGGCCGAGCATGCACTGCACATTATCCATTGACAACCCTGTGGTCCAATAATGTATATCATGGTCAACACTAGCATTACCAAGTTCACTTGCACGTAGGGTGACTGTTTGTACAACTCACCGCCAATTTGGAACCGCGTCGGCTCCAGCTGCGCCGTGGGCCAAAGTGCGGGTGCACAATCGAAAGTCGAATGTTCTTCAGGCGACCGCCGGCTTTAGCACCGCTGCCGTTCGATTTCAGACTGTCCCCATTGCTCTTGAAGCTATCCATGGTGCTAGTGGTAGACTCTGCTCCCAGCTCTGTGCCGCCTGGTTGCTTCTTGCCGCTACGGCCAGCACCGGAGGAGGAAGGTGTGCCTTTACAGCGCCGACAACAGCAGCACAGTGCACCCACTAGCATGAAGAGGGCGACGACAACCGAGAGGAAGATCGCCACTGTCACCGCAAGATTATCTGTAGTGTTGATGATCGCATGTAAAGATAAACAGAGATGCAAATAGAAATGCAAACACAGATGCAAACAGAAATACAAACAGAGATGCAAACAGAAATGCAAACAGAAATACAAACAGAAATGCAAACAGAGATACGGTGAGAAAGTTTCATCTTGACCCAGTCACAATGTGCTGAGAGACAATAGTTATTGTTACCATGAACACAGAAAAGGTCCACTTTCTGTGCTATTGGACCCAAGAGAAAAGAACAAGGGTTGTTCTACTTGTCTACCTTGTTGAGTGTATTTCTTTGGCACCCAGAGCCATTCCGAGTCAAACAAGTAGAATTGAATGGGTGTGCGTCGTTCTCCATTGCATGCAGGACAACGATAGCCATTTAAACTCTGTGCTAGTTGTGTCTGGTCGAGTGGACTGTAATGGAGTTTGGAGAACAATGGCAGGTTTAGTGATTTAGATGTACCTCTTGGGGACAAGTACAAGGAAAAAATGACCATGGGAAATCCGTTGACCGCCTTACCGTCAGCCTGCAGTCCCGACCGCTCAATCACCCGGTCGCAGTACTGGCCCACGTAGGTGTCTCGGCACACGCACTGGTACTGTGCAAGCGTGCTCTGTCTGTCCAGCTGCACGGTCAACCGTCGGCATTGCCCACCGTTCTGACAGGGTTCTGCGCCACACACTGAATGCACAGGGGACAAGAAGTGAAAACAGCAGGCAAAAGAGAGAGAGAGAGACCAGAATCATTACACAACGTTCTACCATATTTCATCCATGTCGGCTGTGATATGAAGGAGCACATCATGTCCTCTACCCGTATGCCTTAGCATCTAGTGGTCAGGAGTTACTGGAAGTCTAAATGAAATTAGCACACACCTGGTCTTCTGGGTAGTCCAATATACCTCACCCAGGGGCATAGCTGGTCCCCGTCTCAGGGGGGAGGGGGTGCATCTGGATCATACATGTAGGGTGGCTGGTGCATGTCATCATGGTCATTGTGTGCATGCTGAACCTAGCTCGAATTTTTAGGGGAGTGCACGTGCCCCATGCGGGCTACACACCAATGCGCCTGGCCCGCAAGGGTGGCATGGTGCTGGCCCGCAAGGGTGGCATGAGGCTGGCCCGCAAGGGTGGCATGGGGCTGGCCCGCAAGGGTGGCATCGGGCTGGCCCGCAAGGGTGGCATGGGGCTGGCCCGCAAGGGTGGCATCCGGCTGGCCCGCAAGGGTGGCATGGGGCTGGCCCGCAAGGGTGGCATGGGGCTGGCCCGCAAGGGTGGCATGGGGCTGGCCCGCAAGGGTGGCATGGGGCTGGCCCACAAGGGTGGCATGGGGGCACGCGTACATACAGGGGTATTTCAGAACCGCAATCCAATGTGCATGTAATTGATGATTCTGAACCAGAGCATTGATCGCTCTCCCGCTCCCTGCTGCTGGAGTTTATTTATTAGGCCCTGGCATCTAGCACTGTCTTCATATCAACCTGAACTTTGAAAAATGCAGTGCTGCTCAATGGTATCCGATCGGCGCCTGCCAGTGTTACACCCCGCACCAGTACACCATCCAGTGTTCACAGGTGCAGGACTGCAAAGCACACTATCAGATTTCATTGAGCAACACTGACCACCCACTATTTGTCTTACCTTCGGGACACTCGATACCTGTGTGGCATGCCTGCTGCTGCTCCCCAACACCAGTACACTGCATGAGCTGATGATCTCCAACCGGCGATGCTGGAACTGTGGCCGCCTCTGTTGCCGTCGTCACTAGGTGTGGTGGCGGTAACTGGGACTGCGAATGGTTGTTCATGCACTCTCGCAGTCTCAGCTTGCGTCCTTGGCCGCACGATGCAGTACAGTGCGACCACTCTCCCCACGCACTCCACAGCGGCAACGAATCTACAGCACGAGAATCAGAGGTCCTATTCTTCAACAACCAATCACTACTTGATCATTGGAAAACTTCAATGTACGATGCTCTTAATTTCCTTGACAAACTGCACAGTGTGATACTCCTATTCAACAGTGTGGGGCTAAAGTTGCGCACACTCTACGCTGACCATGGGCAAACATATGCACTTTATCTGTCGGTGTGGTTTGTATTGTTTGGAGTTTCCTGGGCCAACCCATAAAGTCCGTGACTGGGATACATCCATGCATCATTGAGGATGCGGGGGAGACCGTTCAAGCACATGTGGTGTAATGCGAGGGCCCAACCTCTCCATCGCTTATGGACTGGAGCTTGTTTTGCAAAGGTGCCCGTGATTGGGGCCCGGTGCGTACCCGTGTGTTACATAAACAGGAAGTGAGTGCACGCCGCACAATACTTCTAAACCCCACTGACTTCCATGCGTATCGTCTACAACGACAATAATTGTCATCCCCGACCTGTCCTCAGTCAAAGAGAAGGTTAATCTTACCAGGCGCCATTCCCTGATCAATGCAGGTCTCTGGTTCACAGCCAAGACGACACGCTTGCTGACCATTCTCCAGGCAGACTACACAGCTGGATGACTGGCACTGCCTCGAGCATGTCCCCACAGGGAGATATCCAGCTGAGCAAGTCACCTGCCACTGGAGTAGCAAAAAGAACAGAGTACATGTCCACGGTGTTCGCGCACATACACACACGGGGGCATACATAGGAGTATACACACAGTCGCACATATAGGAGGCTCCGAGCATACACACATGTGCATGCACACATAAAGAAACACACGCACACGCACACACACACACACACATGTAAATGCACACATATACAAATGTGCACATGAAAGCCCGGGTATACACACAATCAGATGCACGAACACGCACACGCGTACCCACTATTTCGGCAATTTTCTAAAAGGCGCGAAATATGCCGTTTGAGTTGCTTGTGCAAGTGCAGCGCTGTGTCGCAAGTCCACGACTTCACCAAAACATCTCAACTGATAATATATTCGCGTAACCTCTTTACTTACCTGAAGAGAAAGGGTAGCAGGAAACCGGTCGAGGAACGCAACATTCTCCGACCATTCACCGCTGGATGGATCAATGGGAGCAACGAATGTGGCCAGGATCTGAAACCTGGACTGCGGAATCTCCTCCTGTCCCCAAGCCTCCACTAATACGGAATAGTTCTAGTTTAGATAGAACATGCACAAGCACACAAACAAACACACAAGCACACGCAAACAAACACACACACACACACACAGTCATGCAAGCGAACAACGCCACATGCCACACAAACACAAAGACGCACTTATGCAAACACGCACGCAAGCAGTGTTCTTTTTTTGTGAAAATGCGGCCCTGACCTGGGCAAGGACATGTTGTATCATTGGCGTTGACTCGCCCCCGAGTGCCCAAGAGAAGTTTACCAGGCGTAACAGAATAGAGCAAGTCCGACACGAGCGGCTTCCAATGCAATACCCTGCACGACTGATGGAAGCGGCTCACAGTTTACCTGGCGAGTTGCACAACGCTTTCATTTTCTACGTTTTAAGGTGCCGCGTGTTTGCATCTCCTTAGCTAGAACTGCAGTATGAGGAACATCCTAAACGTTTAACTCCCCTTCACCAAGTTCCTTCATTTCATGCAGCACCCAACAGATTGGACTAATTTGTTATTTGTATGAATACCTGTGCAGATCCGGAGAAGGCAAGTTTAGCTGGCTGCGCTGTGGACAGTGTGAGGTCATTCTGGCCGCCCACGCCTGGAAACCTCTGGGTCGCATAGCTGCTCATAGGGCAGAGTGCTGTTGATGCCTGCACACATACACGCACGCACACAAAAACGCACACACACATGCAAAATTACACGGACACACACACACACACGGACACACATACGCACGGACACACACAATACTATACAACATCTGGTGTGACCATGTAGGGAGTGGCATGCTGCTTCCGACTCGAGTAAACCCTTAGAACAATAGGCGGCATATTCTGCCAGGAAAAATCTACAGGGCTGTACTTGACTACACAGACGATGCTCTGCTCATTCGATTACAAGGCTCTCTCTGAAATACTGTACAAGCAGAAATTTTCAGTGGTGTTTTATTTTCGGTAACTTTGGTGGTGACAATTTTACCGAAAATGAAACACACCGGAAATTTGGGTACATGTGCTATGTATGTACCACATATACTAGAACACTTACCTGGAAACCTGGAAAGCGGGTTTACCGAAAATTTCCCTCCACCAAACTGCCGGTTTTGGTGAATATCGAGAATATTACACCACCGAAAATTTCTGCTTTTACAGAACTAGCAGCGACAAGTACTGTTTGGAAAAATAGAACAATCCCCTCTCGAATAGAAGAGCGGACTGCTATTTTCAAAGCACGAGATGACCAGGCAATGTCACCCACTGTACAGTGACATCAGATGCCTATAACAAGTGTCTTGTGCACGTACGCACATTCAGGGGCGCCGGAAGGTATTTTAGTGTGGTACGGTCAGCCATCTGAAGTACAATTTACTCGTGGGGGAGAGGTGGCTGAGCCGAAAATTTTGGAATTTTAGATCCCAGATCAGTGTATTTTGTCGATTCACGGGGTATCTGGGGCAAAAAGTGGTACGGTCAATACTGTAGTGACCGTACCGTGTGCGACGCCCTGAACATCTATATTAACTGAGTAAGATCAGGTCCCCCAGCTGTAAAAAGGATGCTCAGCATCAAAGATTGAGGAGTGACAAGGAAGCACCGCAGGTGCAACATTATGTAAAACAAACTCGTTACCTTGTCATTTGGTTGGAGACAGACTCGGAGATAGACCTCACAGGCGTCAGTGTGGTGAACTCCCTTGACTGTGTAGTCGGGACATCCTTGCGATATTGAGAACCGATGCAGGTGGACAAACACTGTGCCCTCTCCATGTATGCCGCGTACCTGCAATGAACAAGGTGAGCAACAACACGAGAATCTGGAACCGTGCTTATAGGTGTCTTGGTCGTCGCGTAGCTAAATTCAATAAAAAAGACAAAGACACATGGAAATCAGGTCTCCTCATGATTGCTTTTCAGCATGAAACTCCTGAGTAGAACCGTGGCCAGGTGCCTGGGTCATCATGTGGCTAGTTCGAATGCCAGGAACACGTATAGTGGAGCTCCTTGATTATGCACAGGCCCACGGTTCAGTGCTGAGTGGGACCTTTAAATTAAAGACCTTCGTTTAACATGAAATCCTGGCTCCGCAAATATTGTGAATTGTGAGCACCCTGAAGCTTGTTCTTTTCTTGCATTTTATTGCAATTGGCCTCCGAGTGAACAGTTCCATGTTATTGAGCAACAATAAAGAATGAGCACACATGGCTGCAGAGGGCCCGGAAGGTGTGCCTAGTTCAGATGTGCTCCCTGTTCAGATGTCTTCGCAGGTGAGACCAGATCCTAGTCCCAGTCGTAAACTCACTGAATACCTGGTTCGATGGCTGCCAAGATGGCTTCCAACCACCATGGCGACTTGTCATGCATGTTCAAGCAGGTCATCTTGTTAGGCCCTCGGCCCTGACCGCTGGAACGCGCTCCCTGCTGAGGCCCGTTTATGTTCTTCATTGCACCTATTCCGCAAATCAGTACTTGCTTTCCTAGAGTACCCTGTAAAATGGCCTTGGGCCTGTGATAAGGCCAATACATCCATGCTGAGCACAGTCCGCATTGAAGGGACATGGGCTGCCAAGACAGCGAAGTGACGGCAATTAATGGCAAGTTACGCATAGAAGTTCAGCAGTGAAAGTCACCGACGGTTCTAAATTCTTTATTTACAAGTGTTACCCAGACAGCGGCAACCTGCAGTGCAAGTCTTGCGAGAGTATGTTTGGTAGAGTAAGTACGTGGCAGATGCTCATTCAAAAATCAACTTTCCGAGAAACCATACAGCACTATCGGTGTGTTTGCTGTAAAAGCAGGTTTTCCTGTTTGTACATCAGCATGTTACACAAAGGTGGGGTGACTCTGGCGAGGGGAGTAAGCTGAACATAATCTCTGAATGGACTCGGATGGAGACTGGTGGTGTTAATGGACATTATAGCGTAACTTTTAGTTCCTTGCTCCTTTTTTTCTATAATCTCTGAACATAATGATAATGATCATAATGTCACTGTGTCACCAGGAGAGTGCACCATCACTCGTATGCAAAGCGGCCGACGCGTTACTCGTAGCGTGGATGATTCTCCCAGTGACTTCAAAGAACCATAGTGAAGATGGATGGCATCACGCACCGCCCGCTAACAATCAACAAGCAGTTGTGCTACCCTACATCCCGTAATGCTTTGCCGTGTAGTATATCCTAGGTTGTGATGGTGTTGCAGAGATAGTAGATCCTATGCTAGTAAAACACATACTTGCCCCAGTACGCACAGGATACGAAGGATTTCTATGGAACCGGCAAAAGGTTTCGGGATGCAGAGGCACGGTCGCATTGAGGACATGCATTTGTTAAAGGGGAAGTTAAGTCTTAAATCAAAGTTTCACCAGTTGTAGTCTTCCTTGGTGTCGAGTCGAGTGGTCTTGGTCCGAGGAACCCGAGACTCACCAGCACGACCCACATCAGTGAGGCCTTAGTTATAGGCGGGTGCAGAAACTGGCACTGGAACAAGGGGCTACTCTAACTGGCAGCCAGGGAGTGAAACCCACAGGGCCTGATTTTACAGTCGCCCATAACCTCTCCATAGGCGCTAGGACTCCCGAGATGCATGTACAGGTCTGCCATCGTTAGTATGACATCAGTTACAAGACAAACCTCATTAGTAGACAGAGGTTGAAAGTCCCCCGACGCCTCAAATGCATTTTACCTGTCGTACATACAAGTTCTGATACAGTGGAGATTGGACATAACGACACTTCTTCGAGAGAGAAATCAAAATGTTGCTATATTCGATCTGTCACTAAACCCAATCTTCACATTTAGTATTCAATATGTATATCAAAATGAACATATGGATAATAATTATTATTATTCCCGTAGCTATGGAAAAGACGTTACTTCAGTAACGTCTAGCGCTAGCCAGGGTCCACACAGCTTTAATTCCGTGTAAGTTTGTGTGTTTGTGCCGTCGGCATGCCTGGCGCTATCCCGTACCTGTCCCGAACCGTACCATCAAAGACAGCTAGCCACAATATTCAAATAGGGCTTTCAAATGCAAGATCATAACGTGAAGCAGCTTACAGAATAAGAGTATGTATGCAAAGTGTATCGGGGGAATGCATGCAGGGCGATAGTGCGGGTTCGAATCCTACATGTAGGTTATGTCTTGAAAAAAGTAGGAGAAATGAAAATTTTACAACATCCCTATGGTTTTTTTGTCTAGGTCATCAAGGTGGTAGACGGTGTCGTATTACCCTTGAATGCAAAGAGAAAGTTAACTCTCGTGACGCAAAAAAGTATAAATTCTATCTGTCGTTATTTTCGAGGTCGTTATACCCAATCTATAATGTACAGAAAGGACTTGCTAAACGACTTGGGCAACAAAATTGTGTCGCTAAACTCGATTTGTCGTTATACCCAAGATCGTTATAATCCAATCTCCACTGTAGTAGACAATACTCATTATGAAACGAAATGGAAACCGGGGGGGGGGTCACTAACAAGGGTAGACATCATGTATAGTGAAACTGCCCTGATCCAAACACTCCTATCTGCTTTCGCCATGTTTCTCCCCTCTGGATTCACAAAGGAATGGCCTACAACGCAACATAACACCAACTATAGTATGGTGTGGAGAGCGCCTGCTCGTCCGTTCTTCTATAGTGTCGGAGATCTACATGGACTATGAACGAGATTTGAAGAGAAATTCTTCCACGTGACTACGGCAACACGGCACACGGACCACGGCCACGGAGCGACGCGGCGCACACACGCATTTCTCACAGGCAAGCGGGCGAAACGGCACGCTCTTCGTGTTGCTGGGTCGCTGGCCGTCTTCCTTTTCTTCGTTGCGCTCCACCTGTGGCAAACCACCTGTACTTGAAAATGACACGCACCCATCGAGTAACTCTACGCTTCACTTTTTTTCACAATGGCTTGCATTCGAACATCAAGAGGCAAAATGGTACCGGCACTGTTCGAACTGCACTCAAAGACATGAATGGAGTGGGTCGAACAAAGGAAGTGGACGGGCAGTTCTGTGTGTGCCGAGCCACAAACTGTTCCGCTGCGTGGCCCACTTGACACCACCATGGCTGCATAAACACAACACGTAGTATTTCACTTCGCTACCCCACTGACTTACCCAGCTAGCCAGGAGCACTACCAGCACCCCAGCCGTCCAGCCGACACGCATTCTTTCTTCCCTTCTCGGGCTGGTGTGCACACATGCACACAAGAAATGCGCTGGCTCAGCGGACGGAAACTAGCCGAACAGAAGGACAGCTTTCAGGTTCTTCCTCGCCTGGGTGTCTAGAGTGAAGAAGGCGAACACCTCGGTTCTTCGTTGTCCACTTCTCCTTCAGCGCCGAGGGCAGAACTTGGAACTATTCACACACTCGCTTGCGATGGTGAGCAATCACCTTGAAATATTGATAGCGTGTAAGGCGAAGGTCAGACCTCCTCTGAGTCCACTTCACGCAACGTTTGCTTTTCTCTGCGAGTGCATCTCCAAAAGAGCGCAAAACAGGCGCTAAAATTAGCCTCCACACGATATAGGCTGTTCGGGTCGCACCCCATGTGCTACGCTCACGTGATGAATTTCCACCTTCACGAAAACCATGCGACTGGTGCAGGTGCAAAGCAGCACAGATACCACGGTACTACTGGCACTGCGACCAGTCACCTCGCTCCCAAGTTTAGTTACCCGACGGTGCGGACCTTTCCCGCGTGCATCGACGCTGATTTTCTATCTAATTTTTCAAGTCGGTCATAAAGGAGTCATGAATTTGGTGTCAGTTGGCGGCATCAGTAGCGGCGATGACAGGTATTAGGTATCCCCTGCGACCTTGCCAGCTATCCCCACTAGACTACGGCGTAACACTAACACAGTAACAGGAAGAGCTCCCCCCCCCCCCCCTCTCTCCCTCTCTCCCTCTTATGCCGGATAGTGTTTGGAAGCCGCGCATGTGGCGGGTCTTGCGAGTGCTGTGGCGAGCCGCTACCTCTCCCGAGGCGGACTGGAATCAGATTAGAGAGATATGAAGGCTATGTGTTTTCTGACATAACTTGTAGGTGATGGTTTGCTTGATGGAGTGTTGAAAGGAATGCATAATAATTATGCCGTCAGCAGCACAGTCTGCCTTTGTACTACTGAACTGCGTGAGCTACGATAGTGGACCTTGTAGTTGCAGGCAAGCCTGGCCATAGCCATAGCCATAGCATCCTGCATATTGGCGGTACAACAACATCACCCCAGTGATAATAGGAGCAGTCAAGCGTCAGGACGCGTGCCTATACCACCATAGTGTCATAGTGTCAGCAGGCATGGTGGTGGCCTAGCACAAGCTCAACTTCCCAAACTGGTTGCATGTGTTTCTCAAGACAAGATCATTGTATAGCCGGTGGTGGTATCGCAGGTGTGCTACTTCAAAGACGTCTACACCAACACAGTATCTTACATCGTACAATATAACTGTAGTGTCTGTAGTGCACGTGAAATAGTCGCACCTCCAGTATGTGCTTTGTGTTAATATAATGGATCTGTTTATCCATGTTTCTCTGCTCAAATCTATGATTTACATGACATTGGGCATCAGTGTAATTGCAGAAGGCTACTGAAATGGTACAATGTAGCAATATGTAGTGTATGTTGATAGCTAAAAAAGGCTGCTCGTTTTTCAGCTGCCCATTAGCCGGCTTACCGGCTAGCAACCAGCTCTAGAGCCAGTATAGGTTGTGAAGGCATCCCAGCATGTATCGCCAGGTGCACAGAAGCAGGGTACAACATACAGAATGTCAAATACCACTAGTACAATCAGTCCATCATGTTTACGTGACGTTACATCCGGTCTTTGGAGTCAAACTCGAAAATTAATGTAGTCTCCGCTGCATGCCATGGGATGACGATGACAACATAGCTTAGTGGTCGAGTATCGCTGGGTAACCTGTTTTCCAGTCGTGATGGTGGGCACTCTCTGTCTATGTCTCTATCTGTTTCTCCCACTCTCTCTTCTCTCTCTCTCACTCTCTCTTTCGCTCTCGCTCTCCCTCCCTCTCTCTCTTTCTCTCTGTCTCTGTCTGTCTGTCTGTCTGTCTGTCTGTCTGTCTGTCTGTCTGTCTGTCTGTCTGTCTGTCTGTCTGTCTGTCTGTCTGTCTGTCTGTCTCTTCTCTTCTCTCTCTCTCTCTCTCTCTCTCTCTCTCTCTCTCTCTCTCTCTCTCTCTCTCTCTCTCTCTCTCTCTCTCTCTCTCTCTCTCTGTCTGTCTCTGTCTGTCTGTCTGTCTGTCTGTCTGTCTCTCTCTCTCTCTCTCTCTCTCTCTCTCTCTCTCTCTCTCTCTCTCTCTCTCTCTCTCTCTCCCTCTCTCTCTCTCTCTCTCTCTCTCTCTCTCTCTCTCTCTCTCTCTCTCTCTCTCTCTCTCTCTCTCTCTCTCTCTCTCTCTCTCTCTCTCTCTCTCTCTCTCTCTCTGTCTCTCTCTCTCCGTCTTATCCTGGTATGCTCCTTAATTGCATGTGTTATTTCTCGGTTACTTCATCGTGGTATGAAAGCTTGAATATAGAACTTGTCCACGTAACAAGACGACAATGCCTCTGCATTCTGGCGAAGTGAAATATTCATACCCAACAAACTAGAATTCATATTACAGGACCATAATGTAAAAGCGCGAGCTGCCATGTAGGGAGCAACACATAATTCCCCAAGTATCGCCGAAGTCACAACAACCTCTTCTTAATAATGTAATTAAAATTAGAATCTAAACTAGAATACTGAGCCAGGTAATAAAAATGTAAAAATTAGAATCTGTGAGTCCCAAGAATAGTTCAAGATCAAAATTACGCTTCAAACCCAGGTAGATGCAAAGGGTAAAGAAATAGAATAATCATGATCAGTCAATCAGCATTTTATCACTCAATGGATTGTAGATAAGTCTCATTGTCACTGTATTCACAATAACCGAGGTTCCGAGCCCTGAATCACATCGGGTGTTCCAATCAATTATCAATAGGGTAAATATGGGGAGCTGAACGACTAATAATTTAACAGAACCAATATGACCGAAATGAGATGGCAAAAAACTGATTTCCTTCGCCTACTATAATTATAATCTGGTTTGAGAGGTTGGGGATGGGGTGTGAGAGGGGGGGGGGGGGGGGGGTGGTATTAGGTATCCACCAGAGATGGGAGTAGATGAAGCCGACCGTTCTGTGCTATCCACAATACTAAAGTTAAGATTTACAACACACATACACACGCACACACATACACACGTACACACACATACACATACACACACATACACACACACACATACACACACACACGCGCGGGAACACATGCACACGCACAGAAAATACAATGTACGAGAGTTGTTAACCTAGGCTACCAAAGACCCAGTACGTTCCTTTGGGCGGCGATGTGTCTTTTGCATAGCAGCGGGAAAAATACATATTATTTTTTGATGATATGATCGGCAGGCATCTGACCCATCAAAGCTACATGGGATGAGACCCAATGCACCAGAGACCATGTGAGTTTGACACCACAAAGAGCTTGAACTGTTGCAAATCCGTACAGACCTTGATCAGGCCGAGGGTAACCAGTTCAGACTTGGATTCGGATTTTGGATTGGTTTGTTTCATGTCGAAGAACAAACAGGCAGTGTTGCCTTATTACTTGGAGGTCTTCATCAACGAATAAATAATATATGTATATGTACACTGCTCTAAGGGCTACAGGGGACGTGTACGCCGTAGGTAGTCTGCCAAAGTGTCTGCCTCAACGTCAGGTGAGTCATCCTCTGTACCATAAGAGTCCAGAGCGCTGTAGCCAAACAGCTCGATATCATTGCCGTAGCGATGCCAGGCAGACTGCAGCAGTGTTCGCGAAACCCGACTGTACAGCTCCTTTGCAGACTTGCGTCGCACCGGGTTGTTTGTGTAGTCAAGCTCCTTCTTTGGGAAGCGTATGTTGTTGATACCCAATGCCTGTAAGACATTATCAGCGCTGTCCGGTAGTTCCTCATGTTTCCCTATGTAGTCGTAGCGTACACTGCAAGGCATACAGTTGGATGTGTATGTCTGCCAGTGCTCGTCCATCTCATGCGGCCGTGTGCGAGACAGGACCATCTTCAAGAACGACGTCAGCGTTATGTTGACGTCCTCGGGCCGTATGCGACGACCCGTCTGCCACTCGGAGCGATCGCGGAAGAACATCTCCTGCATGAAAGCGTCAGACGCGTTCTTCGGCCGCCAAGCTATGAGATCGCGATAGACGGCCAGAAGACGTGTGGCGGGATCACGCACAAACATCACCTTCTTGTACGTCTGTAATCTGTGCAGTGCTTCCAAATAGTTCAGATCGCTCAGATAGCTCACATGCCGATTGCGACGGAAATGCAGCTTGTGATGCGGTATCTTCAGAGAGGACGAATTTCCAGATTTCATTGCAGCGAACACCCGCTTCCAGTTTGTGCATCCCACTTTGGCTATATAACAGAAGACCAACTTTTTGGAGTCGTCATACAGCATGTGTGTGAACAGCATGTCGGCCTCTGCACGTGACGGCTGCACGGCGAACTGTCCGCCTCTGATACACCTCTCCGACACGTCCTTTGCCAAACGACGTTCGGCCGCTCCTGGCTCTGCGGGCGGCTGGGGCGCTACATTGCTCTTTCTCCCGACTATACCGAAAGAGATGTTGATGATGCTGAGTAGTTTGGTGAGGCTCGCGTCGTGCCGTACCATCGTAAGCACGACAAAGCCAGTGACAGCCAAGATGAGCTGGTTTCGCCTCCCCAACCCTGACATGGACCTCATAGCCACTCTACTCGACTACAACTTACTTTCTGGCGCGAACTCCTGGTGATGACTGCACGCACTTCCTTTCACTTCGACAAAAACTAATTATTGGAGTTCTGTCTTCCGCCCAGTGTTAGAAAGTGAATCAGAAATCCTTGTAACGGCGAGGAACGCCACACAGCGGACGTTAGACGGTTGGTACAATCGCTACCTAAAAACACTGTAGACTAGTCTCTACGGCTCTCTGCCGATCTAGAGTGGGTGCTGTGAAGAAGATGCACGCGAGAACTCTAAGAAAAGACGACCTACCGACCAAGGTCACACGGCCACTCACGAATGTCACGGCCACTGAGCCGCTGTCGGTGCGCGCCTATACGCCATCAAGGCTATAGTGCAGCAATAATGGCCGTACAACTACTTGTGATCACACGCGTGGGAGAGGAAGGTTTCGAGTCGAAGTATTTTAGAGTTTTGTTTTGATGGATCGGCCATATCTTTTTGACGTTACTTCTGCGAAAATTCTGAAAGCGAAAACAAAACTCTCAGTTTGAACCACCACACAACGACGAGCATGATATACTCAGTACACAGCATCTCCGCAAGCAAAGCATGTAACATGGAACTACTCAGTACGTCATGTAGCCTTGTAGGTGAAGCCATGAATAGAACAACGCCGACATAATACCCATGATGAACCAATGATCGATAGAAATAATGTGTACCGTTACGCACTCATCCCTCCGGGAACGGACACGATCATTATTTATCTTTACTTTTACTCATACCACTTTGCCAATACCGGAGCAAGAGGCGAATCCATAGCGACGCCATTCACCCGGCGATACATGATACCAAGAGTACATGAAACAATTTTTTTCGTGTTTCATTGTACTCCTGGTGGTACCACAATACGAAAACTCCACGCCAGTAGTTACCAACAACATGAGCTTTCAAAACGATGCCTGAGACAATCAACGCGTATCCATATCCTTTTCGTGATAAAGCACGTTGGCACAAATGTCAATGGTCTCGTTGATGAGTACGTTAGTAAATAGCCTGAGTGGACTACGCCAAATGACACACATGTGGCTGGGTATGCCCAAGCCGGTGAATGTGGGTCATACACTCAGTGTACACTCAGTGTATGACCCACATTCACCTACCGGTACATGTAGCTTGGGCCTATCCAGCCACATGTGACTGTGTAAAGAGGTTATACCACATTTTAATGATTTTATGGTTTTGATCTGGCGAAACCGCTCATGGACGGTATGTGCTAATAGGCAGCATGAGTCGCTAGTGCAGCTCTGTCAGGCCGTGCCATAGGCATTGGCGGATAACGCTCGAAAAGGTGGCAGATTCTGCTCGAAAAGCAGTGAAATTGGCAGAACCATACAAACCGTATGGCGGGCAATTACTCGAATTCTGCTCCATTTTTTTATCCACATACCAAACAAGCATGACACTTACCAGAAAAAGTAACGAATTCTGCCATTTTTCTGCCAGCATTATCCGCAAAGGCCTACCGTGCCACAACTGCGCCAAACTTTCTTGATGGTATCGCATAACTCACATTCACCTTGGGCACCCTGTAAGAAGACCTCAGAGTCTGATGGGAATGCCCAAGGCAAATACTGATACAAATAGAGTTCAAATACAAACCTACCCGTACGTCTGCCATCAAGAGTAAAATGATAAGCACTTAGTATAATTAGCCCTTGGTGTGATATGTAGTAATCAATGTCCGTCCTAGTCCCTGCAAAATTACCTTATACCGGTATTATGATGATGTCATCCGGGAGATACTGGGCCTGGGGAAGTTCATGATCTGGCAAGACTGATCAATTTATTATTATTACTGGTGGTGACAGTCAATTTTTTCTTCAGACTTTTCCCGTTTGTCTCTTTCCCTCAAACCAGTTATTATTATTATTATTACAAAAATGTATTATCTACGCATGCATCTACGCAAGAGTCACCACCAGCCAATAAGGACATGTGTCAAAGTATTGAACGTTTTCGTTCCCTTCTTGTCAAAATACTACAGGGAATGATGGAAATAAGCTAAAAGACTACAACTATAAGGAAAGAAGTTCAGAAATATATCACTCCAATTATGTGTAGAAGTGACACGAAAAAGTAGATGTGAAGAATCAAGAAAACAGCATGCAAATCCAATAAGTGACAAAAAAGTAGTGACAAGAAAAAGAGAGAAATATCAAGAGATCAAGGGATCTATTTCGCACCTTCACGACGAACAGTGCCAAACAACTGCAAAGACAACACATTCTCCTTCTGAACACAAAGCTCAGGGTCTAACTTACGTATGTACAAAGCTTCCAACACGGCAAGATGTAACAAAGACCTACCACGCGACTAAACAGAGAATACATCATCGGAATACCACTTACGACAACTAGCACTGCCAGACAGGTGACACTTGATTGCCGAGGTACCGTTTCCCTGACCCGACGACTTGGCCGTTGTCACATCCGATCCTGCCGCTTGCGAATCTCTCCCATTACGCCCTGCGTCCCTGCAATTCCGATTGCCTCGGTCGAGATCAGTGTGCTGCTCCACGTCCAGTCTGTCCTGCTTCCGTGGTCTACCTCGTTTCTTCACATTAACCGTTGTTGTCACTTCCAGTATTGGTTCTTTTGATTCGTCATCAATTCGTCTCCTCAACTGGCTTCTGGTGACTCGTCCGGGGCTCGATTGTCCAGATGTCAGTTTCGGTGGTTTCCGTATCGGTCTCTTCTTCTTGTTGACTGTTGTTTGGGTTGGCTCCAGCCCTGCGCCCGACGAAAAGGAGGAGGGGTCGGCAAGCGTATCCACAGCGGACTTGGACAAGTCCACCTCAGACACAGACTGCAATGGACACTTCGGTGGACGACCACGCCGAGGCCGAGAACCACGTGCAGCTACAGGGACAAGATTCAACGGTTTGACATGGTTATGACTCTTGCGTAGATGCATGCGTAGATAATACATTTTTGTAATATTTTCTGCCTCCGTCCTACTTTCAAATTATTATTATTATTTGTTTTACATCGGAAGCTCAACAGTGCAGCTGCACAAATATGAAGAGGCCGATGGGACCAAAAAAAAATAATAATAAATAAAATAAACAATGTATATACATCAGTGTAAATGTTTAGGAAAAAAGGGGGATGAGTGGTGAACATAAAGAGAAAAGAAGAAAAACGTATGCTGAATGAACCTGGGCAATATATACATGTACACTGTAGCTGGTGAGAAACTAAACGTTGCCAACGTTGTCAAACAAAATTGCACGATATCGTTCAAACCAAACTCACCACGATCGAACTGAGAGGTAAAAAAGAGGATTTCAAGTCATTAGGTAGAGCATTAAAAAACAGAGCAGCACGAAGCACAAATGATTTTAGGAAACTTCTCTTGTCAACTCCCCCCCCCCCCCAGATAGGCGTTAGCCTTTGGATAATCCTAAAATAAAGATTATTATATTAACTCCAAGCTCCAAAAACGGTCTCTTCATTGCGATTCAAATCAAAATTTACATGACACCAAATGTTCGTGCCTGGTCCATCATTAGGGTAATGAATCGAGAAGAGAAGTTTCCCCAAATGTGTAAAAATGGCTGCGTTGGAGTTAGGGGACAATTAAAAACTGATTAACGTCCAGTAAATCTGGAATGATCGCAACGTATTAGGTGATATTGAGTTGATGGGGTGGAAGGAAACGTGGTATTCGAGGAGAGAGAACCATTCAACAGAGGGTGGTATGATTGTGGCCAGGCGGAAGGAAGATGATCAGTTCACAACGTGCTAAGACCAAAGCCTGCCACCACACTGTAGTGCCTGGTGCTTAGATTGATTTCGGAGTTGTTCGTCAGTGTACTGAGTTGTGTGTGCGTGTGTGTGCGTGTGTGTGCGTGTGTGTGCGTGCGTGTGCGTGTGTGTGCGTGTGTGTGTGCCGGTTTTAGCTGGCGTGAAAGAACATGGGCAGGTTGTTTTGTTGACTTAGAAATCGTAGACCAAATGAACCACAATGCCCAGTGTGATGCCGTGTCCGAACTAGAAATAATTTGTAATTTGAAACTCGGGTATTGAGCCAATAATAAATGTAGAAAGGAAAAAGGGCATATTATGTTGTTGCACTTTCTGACTGTATATGTATATAGTATCTAGTTACAGTGGTGGAGAGTTACTCTTAACTCGTTTCCATAATTATGTCCTTTTTCCTTTCTATAAATAATTTGTAGTTCGGACCGGTAATTATTACCAGTACAGTGAGCTGAAATCATTGCAATGCGTCTGCCATGGGCATGCTGATGGAAACTGTTTCCGTCCGCTGGTACACCTGAAGTGCAAACCAGTCACCCCCCCCCCCCCCCGCCGTCCTTCTTATTTTTCGAAGCACTTTCAAAGTGCAAATCTACAGAAACAGATAACAAAAAAACGTCTCAAGTGGTACACAAAGGGCGTATAGGATGATCCGATGGATATAAGATGTGGCGGGGAGGCGTAGTGCGCTTCGGTGACCTAAAGTCTCAGGATCTAAACTCATAACCCCTTCCGTCCTTCTTTCCTTTCTTCTGGTCCGCGATCTCCACCACACGACCCTTGCGTGATGGGTTGCAGTATCTAGGTAGAAGCGTATGTGAGTGTTTGTGTTTGTGTGTATGTACATGTGCGTGTTTGTGTGTGTATATAATAATTATGCGTTCGTGTGCGTGTGCGCAAATTGCGTGTTAGTGAGTGTTAGTGGCTGTGTGTGTAAGTGTTGCGAGTGTGTGTGTTTTCGGGGGTATTGATGTGGGTGTGCGCGTGTGTATGTGTGTGCGGCAATTCACTCGGAGTTCCAATGACGAAATCTACCAAGATCGAAAACGCTAGCTATCCCGTGAATTCTGTATGTTAATCATAATTATAATTACTTCGTTCTAGGAGAAATGAAATTGAGGAATCATCTGTCCGGTGAGAAGGCATTATTACATGCATCAGTGTGCCCATTTTTGTTAGGCTTATGCCTGTTTTGATTTCCACTATTTCTACACCAACAAAAACAACAACAACTAAAACAACAACAAAAAGTATTGCCGTGAGATGAGTGACTAAAATACGAGTGTGGAATTGGATCTAAACAGGCTGGACTCGCATCACTGCACCTCGGCACCAAATTAATAATTGAGGTGGTGGGTGGATACCAGACTCGTATACTGGACACATCACCTCTAGCCAGTGCCAATTCCCATGGAGAGCTGGGAAAACACCTCACGATCAACTGTACATGTGCAGTGTACTGGACTACACAGGGGTATACGAATGTCCAGTAGACATCAGTCTTTACAGTCTAGGCAGCTGGTCATGCCTCTTCCTAACTATCAGTACGCTCCGGGAAGTACCGCACCTGCAAGAAACTGCGTGTAAACCCGTTTTCCACGAATGACCAGTGCACACTTCCAAGAGACTCAACGGCTGGCAAAAACAAATCATCGAGCGCAAACTTCTCCGCCGAAGCGAGGCGAAAAGTATATAATCCATGAGCGACGGGTAGGGAGCTGCACATAGAGGGTTGAGGCGACAGTTCAATCTGTGAAATAGCAGCCTGGTCCGAGTCGTTCAGTTTGTCCCGTTGTATATCTAGACCGGCCTTAGTTCGGACTGTATATGTGTACCAGCTGTAGGTTTTGTAAGTCATAAGACACCTTGATTGCCACAGTGTTGGTCTGTGTAGAAGTCCTGAATACATGTCTTGGCTGGTCTAACCAGTGAGCAGCCACAGCTGGATCGTTTCCTTTTGCGATCTCTGGCTGGTTGTGAGGCTGCAGACTCAGGTACCCCCGGCACTCTCTCAAGCTGGCAAAACTCGCTCCAATTGCGTATCAGAGCCAACTGCAACCCGCCGATCGAAGACTCTACAATTGCAGTAGTCAGTCGTATTCTCAAATCTTCGAGTGTTCCTGGGATTGACCAGGATTCTAACGCTCGTATTCCCAGCACGTTGACAAGTTATCCAGACATTGTCACAGATAGTGCTACCGTTGACTATTGTTGGGAGCGTTAATTAACTTCTCCTCGGTGTACAGTATAAAAGTGTCAACAAACCTCGCTTCACACTAACATCCTGCCAGAAGGGACTGCATGCCTAGTTTCAGAAGCATGGGTGCGGCGGTGGCATGGAGAGCAATGGTGGCGCTGGCGCTGCTTGGCTTCCAATGTGCCTGTGGGCGAACAGAGGGCAGTGGAGAGCCTTCCGTGGCCACTTGGTACCAAGAGTTAGCGTTGGCTGTGAACACAGACCCGTACTCCTCATGGTCTGCTAGCATGGAGCATATAACCGAGGAGCACGGACAACTGTACAAAATGCGGCAACATATCGAGCAGGGCGCCCAGTTGCAGCGAGAAAAGCGTGCACCCTTGGGTCGCCATCATCGTCCCCAGAAAGCCACGCTTGATTATCGTCAGTCTGGTGTTTTGCTTCATCCCAAGCACCAGGGTTCCTGTGGAAGTTGCTGGGCGTTTGCGGCCGTTCATGCCATTACCGATCGCATCAGTCTCGATCGCCACGCGACGGTCCCGAGAGCCTCGCCAGCCCCACCATCGTCGATTCAACACGTCCTGGAATGTGCATGTCCCAGACAGGGAAGTGACTGTGGTCGGGATGGTGATGGTTGTCAAGGAGCTCAATTGCACGTCGCCAGCAGGTTCATGAAGTATAACGGTAGCCCGCCGCAGACGTGCAAACCATACACGGGCAGCGACAAGGGCTGCAGGAAAAGGTGCAATGATGGTCGTTACGTGACGGCGCACCACCTCACCAAGATCCATTCGTATCGCTCCGTGGTCACGAGCCGCAGGCGACCTTTGTCGAGGCGCATCGCGGACATGCGCAGTGCGCTGGCACGAGGACCTCTGATAGCGCAAATCCGCACCTACACGGGCATGCCACTGCACAAACGAGGCATTTACAAGCCGCGGTCATTCGAGAAGTTCCGAGGCTACCATGCCGTGGAGATAGTGGGGTATGGACGTCAGGTGGAGAGGTCTCGGCGAGGCCGTGCACGCTCAGTTCCTTACTGGATAGTGAAGAACAGCTGGGGAGATCAGTTTGCCGACAGCGGTTACTTAAACGTAGAGATGGGCACAGCAGCAGCAATGGAGCAGGTTGTCATAGAACCACTGCTGCGTCCACTAACAGCTGCTGAATCACGCAACAACAGAGATTCGTACGGAACAAGAACCTGGCGGGGTCGACGAGCCGTGACGCCTTCGTCAGGAAGCATGGGAGCAGTGACCTGTAGTCGTCGGACCATCACGCCGACCGACGCGAACTTACCGGAGTACCAGCAGGCAGTTCTCTTCCTCAATTCCGTGGTCCGACGGCAGTACGAGCAGCGGTTCTTAGCTGGATGCACCATGAACAGTCGTTTCCTGAACGGCAGTCACCAACTGGTCGAGTCCTACGTGTACTATCTCACGGTGCAGTACAGTGTCAAGGAATGCCCACAACCGAATCTCGTTTATACAGGGGCAGTTGCATTACAGTACAGATCAGGACTGTACTCGTTGGTACGTGGTACCCTGCAGAGCCTGACCTGGGTTAAAGGGTGTCCGTGTGGCAGCCACAGTACAACTAACGTTACTGCTGAACATGCACGAAACAGCGCACCTGCACCCAGCAACAACTGATTGCCTTCTGGCACTAGAGTCCATTCATCGGAAACTGGCCCGCTGGCTTTTGAAAGTAGGATTTGGGCCGAATTGAGGATCAAAAACCCACTTTAAATCTCAAAAATCTGGGTTTTAGATCTGCTTCTCCATAGATTTTGCCATGGCATACCTGCCCTAATTTTGTAAAACCTGGCTGAATTTCTATTTCCTTGTTCTTGGACTTTTCTGGCCTCAAATGTGGCAAGGAGTAATTGCACGGGTCACACAATGCAGGATGTACTGTTGTTTTCACGATATCTACAACTATGTTAGAGAGACACCAAAAAGGTAGGGTGCCAGTTTCCAATGAATGGACTGTAGGCGATGTGTAGGCATGATGTGTGTGTGTGTATGTGAGGGCGTGTGGGTCCTTTTGTGTGTGGATATCCGTATTTGCGCATGTGCGTGCATACGTGTGTGCGTTTTAGCCAGTGTGTGTTTGTGTGTGCGTGCGTGCGTTCGTGTGTGTGTGTGTGTGTGCGTGCGTTTGTGTGTGTGGGGGGGGGGGGGTGTAAAAGGCTCGTGTAGTATCAAATTGTTTTCTGCACCCATCATTTTCACCACAACATATTTATATGCTTGCCATATGGAGATATTCCTAACCGTACCTTTTCTATTTGTTTTATTGAAAACCGCAAACCTTCAGACCGATGTGAATGTGCACATACATGTATCCAGTGTGAATGCCTATGTACAATGTATAGAGAAGGCAGCACAGAAACGGCAGTGGTGGTGAGGCCTGGGCAGATCGTCCCGTCAGCTCGTAATACCCATTACCGGTACATGTAATTTTCCTCACTGTCTGTTTCTATTGCATGATTTGCATCAGTAGATCCCCTCGACAGGCCATCGCCTCTGGGAGATCCTTTAAACAAAGATTTTATTAAGGTGATGTAGTATTACGTCGCCGGCCTCAGTGCTCCATGTCACCATTGTGCTACCTATCCATCCAAGTATTCTGTTCTCGAGGTTCGTGGTTTCTCGTAAAAATAAAAAATAAATAAAAATAAAGTCTCCCTCAGTTCATGATTTGGTTCAGTGGGTGGACTCCCAGGCATAACCTGTGAGCCACCCCCTCTGCCCCCATTGGCTTCCTCATTCCTCCACAAGCACGTGTTGTTCACATGCAGCTTCCTGCTTCAAGTTCGAGCTCGTACTTGAATGTAAGGGAGGCACAGAAGCACAGCAGTACTGGCAGGAGTATGTACTGTAGCTGTAGGTTGACAGGAAGCACTATGTGGTTATTGTGTGCAGATACGAGAAAGGCTATTGAAAAAAATCTTTTTGTGTGTCAACTGTCAAGTGATTTTGTAGTTCTTTCGTACAAAGTCAAGACAGCCAATTGTACGATCAAGTTCCTTTAGTATATCTGATGTCCAGTTCACTAGTCCACGTGTTACAGATGAAACGGGGCGTACAAGTCGAGCACAGTCTGTCAAATATTCCTCCGAGCAGCTAATGTGCAATTCACCACACAGCTTTCTTAGTGTTGCAATTGGGTTGGCCACGAGACTTTCGCAGCGCACATCGATGGTCTGGTAGCGCGCCTTCACCTTTGCAACTTGCTCAGTCATGTGAACGTAATCTTGGATTCCGGCGCGGATGATGGATTCGTTCATCACACCCATCTTTCCTTGAAACACAACTTTGTTGTTAACCACTCTGCGCAGTTTGCTGCGTCTGGCCGCGGACGTTGCAATAATGTCAAGAGGGTGTCTCATGGCATGTACAAATACGACGGGAAGCTTCAGCTTGTCTGATATCTCGTCAAAAATGTTCTCGCGTCTAGTCGACGATTGGTCGTAGCATTGAAGAATGCGGCCGTTACGAGGACCATGCTTGTCTCCAATAATCTGCACCGACCCATTGAAATTGCCTTGCCACTGGTTGGGAACTTTGTAGAAATAGTTCTCAATTGTTTTCAGCTTCTTCTTCGTGGCTGCTGAGGTGTCCCGGGCACGTCTTGAGCGCAACAAGCTCTGGGCTTGGTTACGTGTCACTCTGAATATCTCGTTGAAAACAAACTCTCTCTGACTGCGCTGTTCCGTAGTCCACCTCTTCCATTTGCCAGGCAAGTCATACTCATTGGCCAGTACAACATGTGGGTGCGCATCGAGCAGAGAACCTACAAGTGTGGAGCAACTGCGGGGATATCCGATGAACAGCATTAGTCGCTGGACCGACTGGGCAGTTGGTGCAGATATTGAGGTCCGCATCTGTCGACCTTCCTTCTTCTTCTTCTTCTTCTTTTCCTCCTGTTTTGGCCATTCATTCTCCGGCATGGGTGGAATGGGGTTGCAGACTCCATGTTGGTCAGCAGCTTGCACGCCTTCACACTCACTATGCTTTCTCACGGTGTGTATGCCGCCATGTGTTATCACATCTTGTCCAGTCGCCATCTGCGGATTAGCTAAGCCGAAACTCATTTTGCTTATTGCGCCTGTACATAGAACAGAACTGTGATCTGTAGAATGGTGCTCTGGACCATTCTCGCCCTGTTGCCATCTACCAAACCTTTCCCAAAAGTGATGATTGTTGACATTTGGCCGAGTAGATACTAGTAAACATTCCTCCTCCGTTGCGTTCCGGTCAACTCTTGTGCCTGATGGCAACCAGGCAGAGATCCCTTGCCTACTGGAGTCCGGTGAATATCCGGTGCTGCACTTGTACCTCGTGCCGCACCACCACAGGAGCAGACCAGCTACGACTACTTGTCCGGCGTAAAAAGGCCATGTTCTTGCGAGGCAGCCCATCGCCAGAGCAACGACATCCAAGTCTACGATCAAGTAAGTACTGTAAAATCCCGCCAGAGCGCCCCGTCTCTCCCATCCGCCCCTCCCTGACTTCTTGTCAGGGACGTGATTGATTGTATCCTCGTATGACTCTGTCGCAGTCTGTGATGCCGTACTGCACTGCAGACGCGTGCTCGACCCCGTTGGAAATGTACGCAACAGTGCCCACCCTCCTGACCAGGGATCGCACAAACCCTGCGTTTTGTCGGGTCTGTTCGACTCCTGGCTCTTGACCTTTGCTCGGTGTACGAGATACATGAACAGTTTTCGTAGGGTGAGTACTTTTTCATGTAGCACTGAATGCGGCAAGTAGGACTCGCCCATCCGCCCCTCCCCACCTGAAGCGTCGAGGAGGTACTACTAGGTAGGGGCGCTCTGGCGGCATTTTACCCTACATGTATGTACCACTCGTCATAAAACGTTTGCCACACACTCACATACTGCTGTACGAGGTGATTTGTAAAAAATTTACATGGCATATTATTTTACAAATCGAGTAAAATATCACTGTTGAGGACGATTGCATTCTTCCCATGAAGTGTTTTTGTTAGTTCGACAGACAAGTGAGTTGCCATTGTAATGTAGTTTGTAAGCATCAGCAGCGTTTAGCGGAATTGTTTTCTTCCACGGCCTTGTGAGATGTCAATCATGGATCGAAATTCGTGAATTTGTGGTCAATGAGGTAAAATATCCCTCAATGGATGCTTGAAGGACGTCCAAGAGCCAGCGAGCATATTCTACGGCAGGTGGAAACCCTAGGCTGGTCACCGATGCCAGCATTGAGTCATTGAGTCTCGTACCAAGACTGTGTCCTGTACGAGATATACTGTCTTCTCATCAACTACAGTATCAACTACAGGATATCTATAAGCACGGCAGTGATACATTGACGTAAACTGCATGCGGATCTCTGTTCCGCCATACGGAGTTTCCAAATCACGTAGTGCAATGTTATGACATGAGCTAGTGGGCATTATCAGAGCGTAGCTTGTGCCGTAAAGTACCGCCAGAGCGCCCCACCTTCTCGTCCTTTCGTGGTCGTATTAGAGAGGTTCCGCACTACGTAAAGTTGAGCAACTTTACGTTAGTGGGCGGAAAAAACCGTGAATTCGCGAGTTTACACTCCACAACAAAACCCGTGTGAAAAACCAAGAAAATCATACGAACAAAACAAAAGTTAATATTAAAATTAATGATGAAAACCATGTATGCAGGGAGTCGTAAAATACCCCTGCATGTATGAGAACCATTTCAGGCCAGTTCACACTCCGATGAAACGATTTTGTCGTATGGCATGGAGCACCGTATAGGACATCCTGTGCCCGCAGTTTCTTGTACACTGGGACCATCTTTGTGCGCTGGGCCTGTTGAGTTCTGGCAAGGTCGTGGCCCACGTACAATGGCGAGTTGTCCGCTTTCAGGTCAAACCGTCTACGGTATACTTCGCCCTTCGTAGCACCACGTGCAAACTTCACTCTGACAGGTCGAAGCTTTGGTGCAATGGCACCTGCTGCAACAGGTCTGGTCGCCAATAGCATCACACAGCGTGTCGGATGCATCTCGGAATGATGTGCACATACGTCGCCAGCAGTCGGCATCAACCCCTGAAGTTTTTTTTTAAAGAATCCAACAGCCTCTTTTACGGGCAAAATTAAAAGCAACACAATGATGAGAAATCAACAAGAGGGGTAAAAAAATGAAGGGCCTTCTGCACCATGTCACGTGTGTGCAATGCTGACTTGCGTACTCTCGCGTCAAGGAGGCAAACCTCACTGGGTGTGGAGCGATCGGTGTAGGACCTGGGAGGACTGCCTCTACATGCAGTTGAGCTGGCTTTTGGTGCTTGCTACCCAGGGTGTCTCGCACTGGCTTGCTGTTGATGTGTTGATCCAAGCAGGGAGTAGTACAATACGCGTCCTCGCACTGGCTTGCTGTTGATGTGTTGATCCAAGCAGGGAGTAGTACAATACGCGTCCTCGCACTGGCTTGCTGTTGATGCGTTGATCCAAGCAGGGAGTAGTACAATACGCGTCCTCGCCTTGTAACATGCACATGGAATACCAGTTGGAATAGGATACATGTGCCTCGTAGTCGTAGTTTTTCGTTCCATGATCCGTAATTCCACGTGTGAAGGCAGTGTACGTTGATGAGTACATCAAATTAGGGAAGTATGCATGTAATAATTAGCCTCGTAGTACGGGCAATACCGGCTACGATATCTGCCCTCACGGCTGACGCCGTTCGGGCAGATACGGCCGGTATTGCCCTGATACAGGTCGTCCCTCGTTAATACATACATGTAATCTCTGGGACTTGACAAATGTTATGTATTAACGGGGTTTATGTACTAAACGAAAGTGTACATAACTTGCTTGTATACCAGAATTTTTCACTTTTTTCAACTTTTCTGAGTGTTTCTTGCTACCATGACTAGGCAGCGAGATATTCTTGATTCCCTCGATATAACATAAAAATTATGTTATAACGGTCACATTTAGCGAAGATTCTACAGTTG